GGGGCGATGGGAGGTAAGAGTGAGACTCGATATCCAACGGCATCTCATCCATGTGTACAGTTATGCATTTGCAGGCTCAGGCCAGAGGTCACTGGAGAGTCCTCACATGTCCATCTAGTCTTAGTCTCCTATGGGTCATAGCTCTTACCATATATGGTACCATCCGACTTCCATATCTTGCTCATTTCTTATCTGATCCTTGATAGGAATACCTTGAACGATTTGTACATCAATTCTGCATCATTTTGCATCAAAATATGAAGACCTAAAATTTTTCAGATTTTTTTCATGAATTTTCTCAAGAACCCTCTTGGAAAACCCCAAAAACCCACATATCACCCAATCCCAAGTCCATATCTCAGCCATTTCTTATCCGATTCTGGAAAGGAATACCACAATCGGTTTCTACATCAATTCTGCATCATTCTACATCAAAATATGGACTTCTAAAATTTTTCAGATTTTTTTCATAATTTTTCTTATGGATCTCTTTGGAAATTCCTCTAAATCCACATATGAGCCAATCTTAAGACCATATCTCAGCCAATTCTCAACCGATCCTTGAGAGCTATACCCCAATCGATTTGTACATTAATTCTTCACGATTCTACATCAAAATATAGAGCTATAAAATTTTTAAGATTTTTTTCATAAATTTTCTCAAGGACCCTCTTTGAAATACCCACAAACCCATATATCACCCAATTTTAAGTCCATATCTCAGTCAATTCTCAACCGATTCTTAAGAGAAATACCCCAATCGATTTGTACATCAATCCTTCATAATTCTACATCAAAATATAAAGACCTAAAATTTTTCAAATTTTTTTCAAAATTTTTCTCAAGAACCCTCTTAAAAATCCCCACAAACCCTTATAAGGCCCAATCCCAAGTCCATATCTCAGCCAATTCTCAACCGATTCTTAAGAAGAATACCCCAATCGGTTTCTACATCAATTCTCCTTCAATCTTGCATCAAAAAATGCAAACACAATATTCAAGAGATTTTTAAAACATTTTCTTTATGGACCCCCAAGAGACACCCCTTCAGAGGCCATGAGATTCCACGAGAGATGTGTATGTGTGAGTACGACTTTGGCTTCTCCTCCTTGGCTCGGTCTGAGCTCGTTTTGTGTTTCTTTTTTTTTTTTTTTGTGAGTGGGTGGTGATGGGGTGGGGGGTGGTGGGTGGTTGGGTGGTTCGATGAGATGGCTTGCAGACAGGCCGGAGCTGCCACTCCGTATCTCCTATCTCCTTCGCTTTCGGGGCAGCATCAATACATCATTTTCGTCTTTTTCTCTCGCCGGATGAGTGGGGCTATGTGTGTGTGTGTGTTAGTTGTGTGTGTGTGGCACTCTTTTCATTTTGTTTGTTTTTGTTTTTTGTTGCATTTATGTTCCAATGGGGCAAGGGGGAGGGGCAGTGGCAGGGGCAGCTCTTCTCTTGCTCTGTTTTGGGTATTTTTTGTTTAATATTTAAATAAATAATTAGCAAAAAGGGATGTGTGTGTGTGTGTGTGTGAGTGGGAGTGTGTGTGTGTGGACATGTGTGCTCCCCCCCCCCTCTTCTGTGTGCGTTGCTAATGATGTTTGAAATTGTAAAGCAAATGCAGAGGCATGCCCCGAATCTGAAGAATAATGCTGAGGGGCGTTGGGGGCTTCGAGGGTTATAATAAGGGGTTTACCCCAAGACTGGGGGGGGGGGGTGATGCTGGAGTATTTAGCCAGAAGAAGAAGCAATTAATGGATAGCAGTTGAGCTGCTTAACTGCGCCATGCAGGGATTACAGGGACGAGTCTTGAGAGGAGGGAGGATGGGAGGGAGCCAAATATTATTGTGAATTACAGATCCTCGAAATGGGGAGTGATTCTTCTTCTTCTTCTGCCTAATGTGTGTGTAATGGTCCTGCACTCTCTCTTGCTGGCGAGGATTGGGGGTACCATCCCCCCCCATCAGCCGTGTCATGTCGTTTTCAAGGCGTTCAAGTGCCAGTCCTGGGAGGCACTCGTGGGGATTGTCAACCCACCCGGCAGCCGTCGTTCTCCTCCTCCCACGTAGCCGGCTTCAAAGCATAGTCCCGCGGGCAGCAAGGACCCTTCACAATATTGTTGCATTGATTTGCTTTGATTTATTGTCCAAAAACCGAAACCGAAACCAAAACCGCACAATGCAGCCGCGTTAACCCTTTCCAGGACAGCTACCCTTTTTTTTTTGTTGTAGGCAAGCAAGGGTTGCTCAACCTCATCCCCCCCCCTCTGACATATAAAAAACAAGAAAAAGGAACGCAGGCTGGCACTCGAGCTTAAGTTGAAGCACAATTCATAACATTGCCTCCATACTAATTACAAAAAGTGCTCGCTGGAACTCCTTCGTCGAACCCGCCGAGTCCTCGAAAGCTGCACTTGGAGAAATATTTGGCAGGAAGTCCTTATCCAGTGGCTAGTAGGAGGTTATTCTCTTTTTTTTGTTCAGTGTAGAGCAGTTCGCGGGTCTCGAGGCACAGGCTCACTTCAGACAAACAGCTTGAGACAATGCCGCATGCTGCAGCTCCAGAGCTAGGAGAGAGAGGGGGGTGGAGAGATGGTGGGGTGGTGGCATGCAGAGTTGACATGTGCCAAGCACACGACAATTGCGAGCAAACAACTCTACACACACATGCCGCCAACAGCAAACATGGAGGGAAAATAAAGCCTCGAAGTTGAAGTTAGAGGCCCGGCAGGACATCCCACTCCCCCAGTCCCCACTCCCCAGTCCCCAGTCCCCAGATCCAGGTCCAATAGTAGTGGCTACAGTTTCGGGACCAGTGCCATTAATTGGTTGGCTCTAGCGGTGGTACTACTCCATCCTCGAGCCTAATTTCGGGTTTTGAAAAGAATCTGAAGGGGGGCTGGCTGGCTGGCTGGTATTCCGCTTAACATTTTTGGCTTTCGGCCCCGTTTTTCACTTTTTTTGGATTTGGAAGAGAGGTCCTTTGAAGTGGCAACCGGGCAAAAATATTAAATGAAACCCGAAAATAAAAGGGCTCTGGTCCAGGTCCGCTAAAAGGGTGCTCAATACGTATAAGCTGACCACACACACGGTCGCCGGCCCCGGCCCATTGAGTGGCCAAAAAAAAAAAAGGAAGCCCAAAACCCACTCCAGGCCCAAAAAAAAAAAAGAATCCCGTCCGCCAAAGCCACCCGCATTTTAGTTAATTAACTCATTTGGTTGGCAACTGGGCCAGAGCTTTCCTGGGCTAGCATTAATTGATTTGGACGAGTCCTGCGATGGTTGGAGTCCTCTAGGAGAAGAGGAGGAAACTATTTCCCAGGCAAAAACCCCACGAAGCTGGACACAACAAGTGTCGGCATTCCCACGAGGATTTCGTCGCTGATCGATTTCGGACGCAAAAAGTCAGCCAAGAAACGACTGGACGACTGGAGGACAGGACGACTGGAGGACTAGAAAGTGAGAGCGAAAACCGAAAAGTATCCTCGCCATTATGAAAACAATTTTCAGGCTTAAGCAGCTCACGAAAACGAAAACAAACGTTCGTTTCGGCCGGTTCGGCGCTCTCAGGTCTCAGAACAGAGCAACCACTGAGCCCCCCCCCCCCCCAAGCCACAGAGCCACCCACTCTCCCACCCACCCACTAAAGTCTGGCAGACCCGCGTGTCTGGCATTCAAGTCTCAGACGAAGGACGATACAAATGCAGCCTCCCCCTTCGCCTGCTGTCTGTTGTTTGTACTTAAGAGCTTTTAAATATCATAAATATATATATATATATATATATCTGTAGATGGGTCCTGTCCCATCCACCACCCACTCCTTCCACCCATTCGATTCGTAATGAGAACGATGATGTTGACAAATATGCCCCAAGGAGAGATGGGTTAGTCATTAGGACTGAAGACGGGCGGGTGGGCTAGATGGATGATATCGGAAAAAGTTAAATATTTTTAAATAAAAATAATATACATACTCCTACCGATTTTCCCGACAAACACTTTTCTAACACTTCTTCAATCCTGGGGGGGGGGCGGGTGTACGCTTTAAAATCGAATCTCCCAGTCTTGGTGTTTCAGTAACGACTTCCTGAGTTCCAGGCTTCTTGGAGCTTGGAGCTTGGGACTTGGGCCAGCAAAGGGCTTAACAGTCATAGCAGGACTAGCCCATCGACTAATTTCCAAAGTTCTTTATTGCCTGCAACGCCCCGAAAGGATACCCAGCTCCTGCACCAGCTCCTGCTCCTGTTCTTTGGTTGCTTCCGGTATTTATACAAATAAAATTGCTCCCAAAAAACCCCAAAAAAGCTAAAAACCAACCAACAAGTACAAATCAACAGAAAATCGAAGCGCCAAGAGCACCAGAAGTCATTGCCATTTCGGGCTATGGAGCTATGGGGGTTTGGGGCTTTGGGCTTAGGTCGTTGCATGGGAGGCCTTAAAAACTTGGGTCTAGATGGCTGGATCCCCAGACTAATTTGCCAAAAAAGTTTGCACCGCATATTTTTGTAACCTTCTTGGGGAAGCAGTTTAGTCCTGGTGTTCTGGTGTCCTGGTGTCCTGGTGTGTTGTTGTTTTAATTTCGATTCCACAATAAAAAAAAAAAGAGAAAGAAAAGGTCAACTCTAATAGGAGGGAAAATTTTCAAGTTGGCTTATCGATACGGGGACGATAAACTATAAATTGTGTTTGGAGTCCTGGAGCTTGCTTGGAGTTTTTATTGCCCAGAACCAGGATATTTCCAGACCCAGCTAACCCCCAATCCTCAGTATCCTGGTAGGTTTGGTTGGAAAAGTTTCTGCAACGTATTAATTTGGCCAAATTTAACCCGTAATGACTTTAAAAGTAAAATTAATGAGGGTCGATAGTTTTTGGTTGAAAAAAGTTTTTTCTGGAGCGGCAATGGCAGCATATGTGGCTGACACAAGGTCCTTTTGTGGGGGGATTACCCCCCATCCCTACTACTATTAAAATCCAAGCTAACCATCACCCACCCCCCTTCTTTTTTTTTTGCAGCGCGCTACCCTGGCCGAGAAGGAAGTCAATACCCTGAAGGAGCAGCTATCCACCGGCAACAGTGATACCCTCACCACCACCACCACCAACAACAACAACAACAACACAAGCACCGATAACAGCGATACACCAGCAGTAGGAGCAGGATCTACCACAATTAAAAACGAGGAAGAACAGGCAGGAATCTTGGAGAGCCTGGAGCATATAACGCTGCAACAGCAGCAACAACAACAACAACAACAACAACAACAACAGCAGCAGCATCTCAACGGCGGCAGCCTGCTGGCGAACGCGGCGGCGAGTGCCAATACGCCGTCGCCCTCGCCGCCGTTGCTCACCGCCGAGCAGCAGCAGCAGTTGCAGAGCAGCCTGCAGCAGGGCGGCGGCTGCCTTAATCCAAAGCTCTTCTTCAGCCACGCCCAACAGATGATGATGGAGGCGGCAGCAGCGGCGGCGGCAGCAGCAGCAGCCCTCCAGCAACAGCAACAGCAGGAGGAGGAGTCCGACCATGTGACGACCGATCAGGTGACCCGCACAGGAGCCTCTGAGGTGGCGACAGCCAGCAGTAACCTTAATCATAGCACAGCCCAGGAGGACGATGACGATGACGACGAGGAGGAGGGCGAGGAGGATGAGGCCGAGGACGAGGTGGAGGATGAGGAGGAGGACAATGCCTCGATGCAGTCGAATGCCGATGACATGGAGTTGGACGGAACGGGAGCCGGGGCCGAGACGGTCGCCCCCAGAACTGAGCCAAGAACTGAGCAGGTGGAGGCGGAGGAGCTGGTACCGGACAAGGAGGCGGCGGCGGCGGAGGCTAGCCTACCCATTACCGTTAGCAATAATCACACCAGCGACAGCAGGAGCGAGGATGCCACCGAGGAGCAACAGCAGCAGCAGCGGATGGCGGGTGCCGAGGATGAGGATGATTGCGCCAACAACAACAACAACAACAACAATACCAATTCCACCAGCAACAACAACAACAGCACCACCAGCACTGCCACCACTCCTGGCAATGCCAACAACACTAATACCAACAACAACAACAACAACAACAGTAGCAGCAATAACAACAACAACAACAACAACAGTGGCAACAGCGAGAAGCGCAAGAAGAAGAATAACAACAACAACAACGGCCAACCCGCCGTCCTATTGGCCGCCAAAGATAAAGAGGTGAGTTCTGGATAAATCCTTAAAAAATATCCTTCCTGGGAGGTCATATATAGGAGAACCCCCTGCCCCACCCCCTGGATCAGGTATCCTGGACAGGATACACAATTACCCAACGCAATGAAATGTAAAACCGTTAAGATTAGACAAACGTCGCCCCCCCCCACACCACCCACAGCATTCCAGGACTATCCCGCATCCATTCCTCGCGAAAGGATGCAAGGATGGCAGAGGAATTCCGACCGCAGACGCCGACTGACCCGCCCCACACCCCGCTCTCCCTGACCAGCACGCACAATTGAGGAAACACTTGCACAAACAAACAAACACCCCCCTAACCTACCACCCCCTCCCTGACAATGTCCTTGTCCTTGTAATTTTTTGGCCAAACACCGAAGCGGAAAAAAAAAAAAAAGTTGGCCAGGTCGAGGGGTGGTCAGGGGGGTCAGGGGAATGGCAAACAAATGAGCGGCGAAAAAAAAAACGCCACTTTTGACTTCTTCCTTGGGCGCCCAAGACAGGAAAGACCCGTCCTGGGAGGATAAAAAGGACGAAAAAAAAAGCGGGCCAAGAAGGGTTCTTCTCCCGCCAGTGGGGATTCGAAACAACAACAGGGAGTCAGGAGTCAGGACTCAGGGCTCAGAAGTTTCAAGGAAAACTTTTTCCCCAAAAAAAAAAAAAAGGACACCGAACCGTATGCGGTTGCCGGGGTCCTGGTCTAAGGACACTGAATCCTGGCACGGGGGTGTAAAGTGATATCATTAAAATATTGACAAGACAATTTTTACGCCTACGAATTTGTTGAATGCCTTTGTTTACACGACTGGAGCTGGGAGCACCCCTCATTCCCCCGAGGGTATAGTAGTAGCATAAGTCCTTGCAATCTCCCTAATGCAAGGACTACACCACCACCACCACCCCTTTTTTTTCCTGGCCAGAATTCAGGACTTTGGCTGAGTGAAGTGCGGCTGAAGAAGGCATCCATGTCCCAGGAAGGAAGGAAGGATGATGCATTTTTTTGCAACGTCAATCGAAATCATTTGCCATTAAGTGCAGGTGGTTCCATTAGCAACACCCCCTGTTAGGTGTCCTCCAGGAGGAGGAGGAACTCCCTTTTCTTTAATGTTTTGCAGCTTCCTTCCACCCACCTTTGGTAGCTCTGCTTTCTTATTTGAAATCCATTAAAAGCTATTTCTGTTTGGGGGGCTCATTAGTTTGATTACTGGCGCCCATAATACCCCCCACCCTTACCATCCCCTCTTTCTATATAGCCCCTGACCCCAAGAACAGCTGTGATAAATGCACTCGCCTGACAACTAAATCACTTATGGCCGCAGACTTTGGATTTATCTGCTACACATGTTCATATTTATGCGACAATATTTTTGGATGGTTGGATGGAGGATTGGAGGAGCAGCACCCAGAAGATGATCGACAGTCGAGTGGGAAACTCTTTTGGGGGGGGGGAAATGATGTTAAATGGAATTGCAACAGTTGTTTGTTGTTAGAACCGATTCCCGAGTCCGAGTCTCGAGTCCCTAGTCTCGGGCCAACTGTCTGCGTTTGTTTTGGCTCTATATATATATGTTTATTTTTTCGCAGAAGTGCACTTTTATAGACAAAGTGCTATACCGTATGGCCCAGACGCCCAGAGTTCCTCCAAAAATAACACATAATCGAAATGGCAAACAGCAAAAAATTAAACGCCTCTTGACAGCAAAAAAACAAACAAAAAACAAACAAATTAGCAAACAAAGCAAAAGTAGTACATAGTACTAACTTCCGCTATGATTTTTTAGCATTTTTTTTTTGGTTTTTTTAGTAATAGTTTCTGACACGTTCATACCATTCCAATTTCAATTCTGATAGTATATTTTATTTTTTTTATCACGCGGCAAACAAAAATAAGCAACACATGCGGAACAAAAAAAGTATTTTATTAAAAAAAACTCAACCGCATCTATGTGTGTTTGGTTTTTTATATTTTTTTTTTTTTTTTATCTGGCTCGACTCTCATATATTTATAGAATTTCTTTATCGGCATATATTGCCACATAAATATATATTTATTTTTTTATATGGAAACCACCGCCTGGGAAACCGCCAGATTTAGTTGTTTATCCTAACACCAGCACTAGTTACCAGCACCAGAGACCGGAAGTGGTGGATCAACTCGATTCGATTTCGTATTCGAGCTCTTATCATAATTTTTTTTTGGCAGTATTTGTTTCCATCGACGTCAGAGATCCAAAAATATTTGAACAAAAAAAGTACACGCTCCAAATGGAGACAATGGATAATGCAGAGATCGGTGCTGGGAAATCCATCCAAGACTAACGCGCAAAACTTGGTTCTAAAATTAAACCCCAACCCCGGATCAGTTGTTCAAATAAAGCCACAACCACCACCGATCGATCCAAGCAGTATCGCCCCCCAAAAAATATGATTAGTATTAGAACTCGCCCTCGATTCTAAAATATTCTAATCAAGAATCAAGAAGACTCTTAATCTATTCGTAGCTCAATTATATTTTGATTGTTTTGTGTTTTATTAATTTTTTATTTGAGGCTTGTTTATGATTAGGAAGCTTTGGTCGGTAGCCTTCGAATCGATCTGTCACTTTTTAGTATCAGATCCATGCCAATCGAAGCAGAAGTTTCTTTGAACATTCTCTAAATCGGAATATGGAACGGGTGAGTCTGCCGATCTGCCGACTATATAGTACATGTACATACAACTGCAATTATTCAATTCATATCAATCAGTCTCTATATAGTTTACTGGAGACATTGAGCTTAGTTTAGTTGGGTCTCTGGTGGTTATGGTTATGGTTGCGGCTTCTGGCTTATCTGCCTTTCTGTATATATTTGTCGATGTCGCAATGCTGATTAAAGTGAAAAAAAAACACACATTCATTATCATTCGAGAATATATATATATATATACAAACAGACAAGCATTATATCCACTCAGGCCTATCCCCTCCCTCCATTTCTCTCGACCAATTGCGGATAAATTCAATTTATTTATCGCATATGGATTCCGATCAGCCGTCTCTATCTCTCTTATATATCTCTCTATATAACTATCTCTCTCTGTCTCTCTCTGGCTCATCATCATGATCTCGTAGCGTAATGGGTAATGTGTGATTTTGATTTTTTTAAATTGATTATTTCCTTATTTTCGTTCGTTTGGCTTTTTTTGTTCAATTGGGGATTGTGGCACAGTTGCATTCAGTTTAGCTTCTAGTCTATAGTCTATCTCTTGATTGTGGATCGAGGCTATATAGAGAGAGGGAGGGGGGTTGACATACGCCCACTATCCTCTAATTAAGGGCAACCAGGTGGCAAGTTGTGCCTGAATGGATGGCCCAGTCTCATCCAAATCTTGTAGCCATTAGTCTTACGGAAATTAGCATTTCAATTAGCAGCAGCCCCAAGACCTGTCATCTTTATTAATTTTCCATCAAATTGAGTTTGTCTGGAATTTGGCAATTAATTAAACAAGAAGATATGATAGATATTTAGATATCTAAAAAAAAAAAAAGATTAAGACAGACAATTGATTTTAAATGTAAAATGCCATAAACCCCAAAATACTCATCATTATGGGTTGGCCATCAAGGCCAGGCAGGACAATTCCAACCAGGACAATTAAAAAAAAAAGGCCAGGATATAAAATCGTCCCTGACTTTAATTAGTTTGCCACCCAAATGCCCCCTCGATTTTTTTTGGTCATCATTCTCGTATCTTAACGCAAATTAAACGTCTTTGAAATAATTGGACCAGTGGTTTTGGTATTTTTTTTTTTTTTTTGGGGGGGAGTCTATATAGCCTCATCCCTCTAAGGGTGGACAATTAAAATAATCCTGGAACTGGAACCATAAAATCGTCATCGTCATCATCAGAAGGAGGCGAGTTAATCGATGCACAGACAGACACCGCACCGAGGGCGGGCGAAATTCAATTAGAACTTCAACGCTGATGTTTTAAATCGAATTACGGTCTGAAGGACATTCAGGCTTTAGTTGCAAGCTATACCTCTCCCTCTACCTCTCCCCCTCCCTCTCTCCTTTAAGTAGCTTTATGTGTTGCAGTTTGCAGACACCTGCCCCCAAAAAATACCAAAAAAAGCCAGTGAGTCGAACAAAAAGGACACACTGGCAAAACGGAAGGAAGTTGAAACCATTAGAAGCTGAACCCTGAAATCTGGAGGCAGTACCACCTCCTCCTCCTCCTTCTTCTTCTTCTTCTAGCTTTTGTGTCCTTTTTTTTCGGTTCATATTTTTATATTTTTTGACAAAAAAAAAAAAAAGGCAAAGGCTCACAAAACAATGACAGACCAGGATGCAGGATCATCAGGCAGGACTCGTCCTTACGAATGTTTGCTCGAGAGATGTTGATTGGCATGCAAGAGAGGCGGGGGGGGGGGGGGGGCATGTCCTTCATGCGGGCCAAAAAGGGAATCACAAACAGGAGACCTGGAGACCTGGAGACCAGAGCGCTGCTCTGCGCTCATAAATTATTGTCTAGACTATGATTTTAACGTTTTTTGATTATGAAAGTCCTCGAAGCAGAGAGGTCCTTCTGCCTTACCCTCCTTACCCCCCTCCTCTCCCCCCTTAAGCCAAATATATATAAAATAAAATTCGCTGGCATATCCTTTCTGTTATCCAACCAACGGGTGTTTTTTGTCCTTTTTTTTGTGTGGGGGTACAGATATCATATCAATAAGCAAAAGGATTAGACATGTGACTGGGCGCGCGGACCTCAACCTCAACCTCAACCACCTCCCCCCTGGTGAAGGACCTACCTTTTTGGGTCGCCGGTGGAGTGCTTATCGACAAAAAATACAAAATATATATTTTTCCTCAAACCTGATTTTGGTCCTCCATCCTGGATTCTGGTTCCTGGAAGTGGAAACAACATTTTATTTCCATTTTTTGGCATTTTTTGGCAATATATGAATAAAAGTCAAGTTCACATGCGGCCAAGGGGGGCGGGGTAGGGGTTGGCCAGACAATTATTAAGCAAAAGTTTAACGAATTAGAAACAAAAAAAGGGGGGGCTGCATGGGGGATGGATTGGGGGGGGAGCGAGTTTGATTAAAAATATACACCATCATGTGGGAGATGTGGCAGGTGGCAGGGGGCAGGGGGGGGGCAACTCTTGGCAACAGAGCCTTCAAAAGCCTTTAATTTCCCTTCAAAAGTCCTTCCACCCCCCCTTCTAACTACCCCTCCCCCGCCCCTCAAAACAGACAATAAAATCGAAACATAAATCGAAAATTGTAAAATTCAAATGAAAGACTAAGAGAGGGGAGGGGGGTTGGGGTACGCAAGTCTTGAAAGAAAAGGGGGTAGGGGGTGGTGCCAAGGAAGATTCCACCCGCTGTGCTAGAGTGGGGAGGGGGGGAGGGGAGTAGAAATGGTCCTGGGAATTGTAAAGCTGTCAAATTTTAATTACAAAACTTTATAATCCAAAAAATACAAGGCAAAAGGGGTATAGAGGGGGGTACAGGGCGGGGGGCAAGACGCACAAAAAGACATGGGGAGGCGCCACCTTCAAGGCACTCCTTGCCACCAAATCAATTCAATAACTCCACCAAAAGGGTGTGCGTGAGCAAGTGACTGACTGACTGACTGAAGTATTGCCTACCACCCGATTTTGAATTAGAATTTGAATTAGAACCCTCCCTTTTGATATAAATAATGCTAGGTATTTGAAGAACTTGAAAGATATAGAAAGGAAGAGAGATATCGGACATATGTGACCTCTTTCAGGGTCTTTGTTTCTTTTTCTGTTTGTCTTTTATTATTTTTTGAATTAGCACCCCCCCTTTTGATATAAATAATGCTAGGTATTTTAGGAACTTAAAAGATATAGAAAGGAAGAGAGAGCAGATATCGGTTCCCAGGTCCATACATATGTGACCTCTTTTGGGGTCTTTGTTTCTTTTCTGTTTGTCTTTTTTTATTTTTTATTTATTTTTTTTATTATTATTTTTTTTATTTGCATTTCTTGTGATATTCTTTGTTATCTTTTGTTGCAAATTGCCGACTGGGGCTTTGCCAGTTGCCAGTTGCAGCTTAGACCTCCGAGCTCCAAGCTCCGAGCTCCGAGCCTTGGCGTCAAAGCTCTGGGGTGCACTTGGCAGATGCCCTTCTCGTCCTGCCCCCCCCTTTGAATCCTTTGCCAACACTTGAAACAATCAAAAATCAATGACAAGCTCACACACATACACACATACACAGTTGACGACATTGAGACGCACCACCCACCACCACCCACCCAGTGGCTTCCTCATTTGTCTTTTGGCTTTTTGGAAATTAACAACAGAGAGTCGTTGAGTCAACCACCCACCTAGCCACCCGGCCACCCGGCAGCTTCTACAGGCAAAAGTTACCCCTTTTTTTTTTTGCTGTAGCTATCTCTATCCATCACTCCTGCCAGCCGCGTCCTGTCTCCTGCCTCCTCATCCTGTCTCCTGCCTCCTCATCCTGGAGAGATCCTTCTAGGCAGTCATATATATATTTTAAAATTTTTATGCCCGAATGAATTTTAATTCCTTTGACGGTTGCCTCTCACTCTGGGATCTGGTCTATGGCAGCTGACGTCCTGGTGGAAAAAAAAAAGGATATACTCGATGAGAGTGTGTGTGTGTGTGTGTTAGAGTGTGTGTCAGTGTGTGTGTCAGTCTGTGTCTCAGTGTGTGTCTTTGATTGCTTATTGTTAATTTGTATTTGTAGATTGTAGAACGATGCTGCCTCTCGCTGATTAAACCCTTTTTTTACAAACCCCACCCACTCACCCACCATCCGCCCTTGGGCTCATATGGAAAACACACATACATATATATATATATATATATAGAGGTCCTGTGGGGTAGGACAGACTGTGGAGACAGACGCATAACCTTAATTCCTTTTGGCATTTTGTGCTTCCTTCGTCTTTTGCCTTGGAGTGTTTGTTATTGTTGTGTTCCTGCCACTCCCCCTGTCCCTGCCACCCCCCACCAAACAAGGATACATGTGCGTGTATTGACTTGCTTTGTCAATTGTTATGCAAAGGATACACACTGGTTTGAGGGGGGGGGCAGGCCACTTTTGGGCTTCGACTTCGGCCTCGGCTTCAGCCTCGGCTTTTGGGCTGCTTGGCAATTTTGTTAATTACAAATCGTTTGCCTTGGTCTGCTAGCTGTTACTAATGTCCTGTCCCTGCCCCACAACATACCCCTCTCCATACCCCTCATATCCCTGTCCAACCCGTCCGAGAAAAATGTAAATTTTCATAATTTTCACAGTCAATACAGGGAGACCGAGACGTCTCTATAGGACTGTCTATAGGACTTCTATGCAAAATATTTGTTATAGTTTGTTTGATTGCCAACCTACCTCCTCCTCTCCCCACCTGCCACCCCCCTCGTGGCAAGCATCAACCACAGAGTGTTGCAGAAAACTTTCCAGGGAAAAGCTCAAGGGTTGAAAAGTGATTTCTGGCGTGGCGTCTGGCGTTCTGGGTCTGGAAAATCCGTAAAGTTGATTTATCGTTTTAATATTTTTCTTTTTTGAGGACTGGCAAGGACACCAAGGATACTGGTGATGATTGGACCTACCTAGATCCTCCTAGATCCTTCTAGATCCTCCTAGATCCTCCTAGATCCTCTAGTCTAGTACAGTTTCTTGGAAAATCCTTTCAAGAAGGAAAAGGGAGGTGTCTTCCTCCCCCCAGAGAGTTTTCTGCTAATTACGTTTATTTAAGAAAAGCTGAAAAATTCAAGGGGGCTTCGGTGGGGGGAGGGGGTGTCTACCGCCAAGAAGCAGTTGGCAATTAGAAGCCACCCCTTGTGTGGCAGTCAGCACGAGTCCCCCCCTCCTCCGTTCTCGCAATTTTTATGCAATTAATGTGAGTCGTTTGTCGTCTTGTCATGTCTCTGCCTCATGCCACATGCCTCATGCTACATGCCTCCTGGCCCCCCCTCCCCCTATCCTATATGCTAATGAAAAATCGAACACGCACGTCAACCCCTTTTCTGGATGTGTCCTGGATGTGTCCTGGATGTCCTTTGATTGATAATAGAATTAACCAGCTGCTTTGCATTTTTCGGGCATGCCACACACGCATACCTCTGATGCCTTTTTAATGCCAATTATAGGCCCACCCCACCCCCTTCTTTAGCTTTTGTTTATGGCCAATAATCATCCATGCCACAAAATATTGATAAAATAGCGGGGGTGGGGGAGGGGGGGATAGTGTTCCCATGCTGATGAAATTATTGTTTATTGTTTATGCCCATGTTCGACACAAATCACGCAATGGCACGCAAGTGGCAAGTTGCAAGTTGGAAGCACCTCATTTGCATATGGGGATGGGTCCTGGGTCCTCCCCCTCCCAATATCGATCAGGAAGCCCTCGGCCTCGGTCTCGGTCTCCTCCACCAGATGCTTCAATTAAAAACCCGCGCCATAAAATTAATTTTAATCACATAATGAGGAATCCACACAAACACACACATACGCCCTTAGGGGCGTGTCCCACCGCCCACCTGGCTGTCATTACAAAAAAAAAAATTGCGTTGCATGCCACACACACACACACACAGACACACACACGGCGCAACCGAAAAACTTTATCTTGTCAACTTTCAACGAACAAGATTTTGAGGAAGAAGGAGAACACAGACTTGCCACAGAACGACGGTGGGGTGTGGCGGCACACACGCCCTCTGGTGGCACACACACACACACATACGCACTTGGGAAAAATTCCCTTGTCAAATTTGCCAATTATCATATTTTCATCAAAAAAAAAACAACAAAGTTCCAAACAAAGCTTCCCAGGTGGGATGGTGGGTGGAGGCTGTATACCTGGCGGTTGAGAGGCTTCCACCCCCCCCCCCCCTCTCATCCTGGCAGCTGGCAATCACCGAGAAGCGACATTGACGTCGTTGTTAATTTTATTAAAAATTATTTTATAACTTTGGCAACTTTTCCGGCACACACACACCCCATCCCCTCCGCCCATATGGGGGTGGTTGCTCCCCAAAGGCAGGATACAAAGAAGATGCCTCCAGGCAGTGGCAATCGATGGGCAATAAGGTTGGATAAGATGCCTCCACCAACCTTAAAAGATGGAACTCTTTCCAAAAAAAACAGTTGAAACTTTTAAGTAAACTCATACCCCTCTCTCCCCCCCTCTCTTTGCAGATTAAGGCCCTGCTGGATGAACTGCAGCGCCTGAGGGCTCTGGAACAGACCCACCTTGTGCAGATCCAACGCCTCGAAGGACATTTGGAGGTGAAACGGCAGCACATCATTCGACTGGAGGCCCGGCTCGACAAGCACCAGATCAATGAGGCTCTAGCCGAGGCCACCGCTTTGGCAGCAGCCACCAACAACAACAATAACATTAGCCAGAGCAGCGACAACAACAACAAGCTGCCACACGACTCTGCTGCAGAATCGGAGCCGGCCGTTGTTGAGGATGAGGAGGAAGAGGAGCCGGATCAGGCCATGCTAGTGGATGGTGAGGAGCAGGAGGAGAACGATGACCACGACCACGACCACGATCACGACGACAAGGAGGAGAAGGAGGAGGAGGAGCTGGAGGAGGCCGCTGCCGAACAACGAAACGACCCATCCACCAACGATGGCAACGAGCTCAAAATCAAAAAGGAACAGCAGTAAGTATTATCCTGGAGGAAGGACATCCTGGTTCATCAGTACTAATCCCTTTGACCATTGCAGCAGTCCGCTGGATCTGAATGTGCTCAGTCCACAGTCGACGATCGCTGCTGCTGCCGCGGCCGCAGCTGCCGCCGCCTGCGCCAACGATCCCAACAAGTTCCAGGCCCTGCTCATGGAGCGGACCAAGGCCCTGGCCGCTGAGGCGCTAAAGAACGGTACCGTTGACACCGCCGCCAACGAAGGTGAGTCTTCCCCCCTAGAGATAGAGAGAGAGAGAGCCCCCTCTGGGAACTGCACTTCCGGCTGTACCTCCTCCTCCTCCTCCTGCTCCTCCTTTGATTTGAAACCGACTCGTGCCATAAACTGTTGCTTTATGACCCGATTGGAATGGAGGAGGAGGTTGGTTGGAAGGAGTAGGCCCAGACGGCGCCAGCTCTGGTTTATGGTGGAGGAGAGTGCAAACATCAAGCCGGAGGGGGCAGTACCCTTTATGGATCTCATTCTTCCACCGATCGAGTCTCGAAGCTCAAACAAGACAATATTTGTTGGTTGCCCCCACTGTTGTTGTTGTTATTATTATCGTTGTTGTTGTTGTTGTTATCATTGTTATCGTTGTTAAAATATAGCATGTTTATCGATAACAAAACCACAGAAACAGAAACAGAAACAGATATCAAAAAATTCGAAAAAAAAAACTGAAATCCCAAAAAAAGAAAACAAAAACACACTTCCTGGGTCTCTTTGTTGGACATATATTGGCGATATATATCGATAACATATCGATTAATTGAAAAATCGAAAAAACAACAAAGAACTCAGATCCAGGTTTTTTTCTTGATCCTTGATCCTTGGACGAACAACAAATAGAAACACTTGTTTGTTGTCATCCGCAGAGACGAGTCCGCCGGATCCATTGCCGGATCCATCGCTGGCCACCAAACAGGAGGTCGTGACCGATGAGCACGATGAGGATGACCACCTGGCCACCACCACACTAGTCAGTGGTACTGGCTATTGGCGACGCGGTTTCGAACCGGAGTCCACCGGAGCCTCAAAGTCCGGGAGCAGGCCACTTTTGCCGCCACCTCCGCCTCCGCCTCCACTGCCTCCGTTGCCGCATTATGGCCCTCCGGCTGCCACGCCTCTTTATCCCCCGCCACAGTCACACCAGCAACAACAACAACAACAGCATCAGCAACAACAACAACAGCAACATGGACCCTCGTCCACCGCCTTGCTGAGCCAACTGGTTAATTCGACATTTTCCAACTCTACCCCCTCTTCTTCCTCCACCCGCCTAGATGGAAGCAGCCACTCGCAGCCGCATCCTCAGCCCCCGCACCATCATGCCCAGCACCCGCAACACTCACAGCACCCCCATCCGGCCGCCAGCCAGCCGAATCCCGCGGAGAATCATCACCACCACCTGCACCTGCTCCATCCCTCGGCCGCTGCGGCGCACCACCTACAGCAGCAGCAGCACCACCACCACCACCAGCAGCAGGACGGAAGCTCCAGCTCGAGCGCCACCAGCACCCCGGCCAGCAACGGTGCCAAGGCGGCCCAGATGCTTCAGGATCCGGAGTCGGCCGCCGCTACCGCCACCGCCAATGGGCTGGCCGCTGCCGCCATGGCCGCCCATGCCCACGCCGGCTTCCTGCCTGGCCTCTCACCGGCCTTCCAGTTTGCGGCTGCCGCTGCTGCTGGACAGGATGCCCGTGGCCATTACCGGTTCGCCGATGCGGAGCTGCAACTGCCACCGGGCGCCTCGATGGCCGGCCGGCTGGGCGAATCCCTCATCCCCAAGGGCGATCCGATGGAGGCCAAGCTGCAGGAGATGCTGCGCTACAACATGGACAAGTACGCCAACCAGGCCCTGGACACCCTACACATCTCGCGCCGCGTCCGTGAACTCCTCTCCGTGCACAACATTGGCCAGCGGCTGTTCGCCAAGTACATCCTGGGCCTATCGCAGGGCACCGTCTCGGAGCTCCTCAGCAAACCGAAGCCCTGGGACAAGCTAACCGAGAAGGGTCGAGACAGCTACCGGAAGATGCATGCCTGGGCCTGTGATGATAATGCCGTCATGCTGCTCAAGTCGCTGATACCCAAGAAAGGTGAGTGGATTACCATTCCAGCTAGGTGGGGGATTATCCTGTTCCTGCCAGTGTTGGACAGGTCCAGGTTAAAGTTTCTGAGATGGCTTATGGAGTTCTGGCGGGGATTAGTCAGTAAAACAGTTGGAGTTCATTGAACCCAGACAGCGAGGAATGGGATGGGATGGGGTCTCCAAGGGGGATATCCTTGGCCGCCGGCCAGAACATTAAGTTGTGAAATTTTAATTATTTTTGATTTCTGCCAACACGACACTCTTGATGGGGGAGGGGGAGGTGGCCTGTCGCCACCAATCGTGGCAAGTTGTAACATTTGGCGTGAAAATTAAGAGGAATTCTTGCCAGATCGGCCGGGATCTATAGAGGTTTCTCTAGGGGGGAGAGCTGGAGGAGGAGGAGGAGGTCCTGGCTGTTGTTATCCGTTGTCTAGGTTTCAGGGAGACCTGGTATTGATTACTCATCAATTAGGCATGGTCGGAAAAGTTTTCAACCAACGGACGAGGGGGGCAGGACGAGGGGAAATATGTCAATGCAAAAGTATGTTTAAAGTGCACGCACCCCTCCTGCGTGAGGGGATAGGGGGGGTCTAAGTGCATGCAAATGTTGACAATTAATTTATGACGATTACTCATGGCAGCTAAACTAACTGCGACTGTTTATAGAGGGAGGTGGGGTGGGGGTTAGGACAGGGGCGGTGTCGAGTGCAACAGGGGTCATGCTCCCACCCCCCACCGCAAATACCTGGCTCTTAGCTTAGAACAACTTGTAGCCAAAAAAAAAGAGGTAGCTCCAACCAACCTTCGACCCCCCCTTTTGGTTGCCACGCCCCTGCCCAACTCCGCTTCAAACAATACTTTGAAGTCATTGTGGCAAAAGTTAACCCAGGACGCGCGTCAATGAGTTTTGAATTGTAATTGTTTAAAGCGCGTTATGAAAAATACCAGAAGGGGGGGGTGGACCTAGAGGACCAGCCAGAGACCTGGTCTCTGTAAAAGGCTTGAAACAAAATCCAACATGGAGAGGAAAATCAGGGAAAACTCAGCCACAGTTACACAGCCCTTGGCAGGAACAGAGACGTGGCATGATCCCCCCTCTCTCTCTGCCCCAGGAGGGGAGGGTGCGATTTGTAATTATCTAGCCGTCATGAATCGAAAGCGAGTACGAGTGCGAGTGCTGCAACCCCTTTTTGCCTACGCCTCTGCCTCCTACGCCGCCTCCAACGAGGCATGCAACGTTGACGTGCCGCCACTGCCCCCCCCTTTTTTGAAGTCGTCTTTGTGGCCTGGCCAGGGAAAAAAGTTTTCTATTTATTTTTGCAACATTTAGCGGCAATTGTGGCACATTAAGGCCCCCAGGGGGCAAGCACGGATCGATCGGGAGATTGGTTCTGAGATCCTTTGACAAAAAAAAAAAGAAACAGTCCTGTTGACAGGACTCTCTTGCCAAGAGGATTAAAGTGCTCCCCACAAAAACCTAAGAGGAGTGGGAGGAGTGGGGGTAGTGCCATTATAGCGGCTAATAATACTAGCATATTAACACATAATTCTCGCTAGACACCAGCTATTTGCTTTTAGCCAGGCCAACGCGGGCCATAGTGCCTAAGAATAGCAGCCAGCCGGCACACACACATGACAGGGGGTGGTGGCCACTACAAGAGGGGAGAGGGGGGTGGGAGGGATGGCTGACAAAAACAAAAGCATTCCAAACGCCAAAAAGACTACCGCGTAGCATTTATTTGTGGCTGGCCGCTTCACAAATTATTTGTCACAAGCCATAAAGCGGGCACGAGACACTGAAAGAAATATATAATAATATAAATATATATATATAGGAATTTTCTTACAGTGTACTATAAGAGCTCTACCGATTGTATTTCATTTTATTGAGATTTTCTTTTGAAAAGTATTTTTTTTTTTTTTAAAAAAAAGATCGCATAAGTGTGGCGGCAGATGATTGCGGTGGGGCACTGGATGTGTGTGTGGGCGTGGACGGCGGCAAACAATATACATAAATTAGCATAAAGCTAGCTCCTTTAAATTTATTTTATTTTTTTTTTTCAAAATTTTCTTTTGATATTTCTTTTTGGATGATGAACGAAATGAGGCAATCAGCCCCCAAGAAGCCTACGGTCTGGGCTGTAGACCGAAGAGTAATGGCCCCGATCAGGGAGTGCTAATAATTTGATGGGTTGGGGCGGGGGGGGGTGGTGTAGACTAACCAAAATCAGGGACAAGAAAATAAAATATTAAATGAAGGAAAATGGGAGGAAAATGGGGGGGAAAATGGGGCTAGAGGCAGTAAAAGCCAGCCAGGAAAAACTTTTTAAGCCCACCGCCACACAAATTATTGTTGCACATGTTCGTGTTTATTTTTTTTTTTTATTTTTTTTTTAATTTTTTATTTTTTATTTTTTGCATATAAGGCAGCTAATTACTTTGTAATGAACTTTGACAACAGAAGAGCTTAAGCAGGGGGGGAGTGGTGAGGTCTAGCCAAATCATGACGAAAACAAATTAAAATGCAAGACAAAGTTGGTGTACCCCCTCCCACCCCCTTTCTTGGCTTAATTGCAAGACAAACAATGGTTGGGTAGTTCCTCCACCTGATAACAGGTGACTCTGCAGTGCAGGTGAAAAGCCCCCACTCTCCCCCCCTGTCGAAGTCCTTCAATCTACCATGCTACGTTTGTTTGCCGCTCAGTCAGAAAGTCCATTTCCAATTCGAAGAGACACCTCCACCACACCTGTCCTACACATGTCCTCCATATCCTCCATGGTTCTCCTCCATGGTTCTCCTCTCCTTGGGAAGAGCAGCCAGCGAGAGAGTGACTGACTGGCATTTTAATTACAAAAATTTTTCTTGCAATTAATGTAAATTGCGTGCGTGTGCCAATTCGCATAACCTACCTACCAACCACCCACCACCCACTCCCCACCCACCCAGGCCCAGCCCCCCCCCCCCAGAGCATGTATGGCAAGGAAACCCTTCTAGGTTTTATGATTACATATCTCTGGTTGCTCTGGCTCTGGCAATATTTATTATATTATAAAAACCCAGTCCCAGACTATCTATATAGTAAGGGGCTAGACGAGTATGATAGCTGGTAACCCCCATTCTCCATCCTCTATAGTCTCCATCAGATTGCCGCCCCTGAAATCCCTTTGAATGACAATTTGGTCAACATGTTCCTCTCTAATAAATTACAAAACAAAAAAAAATAAAAACAAAAAAAAAATCGCAGACAAAACACTGACCACCAGCGAGGACACTGGCCATCCAGCAATATTTATATATATATATATTCTAAAGAGTATATATTCTGGTGGTCTGGTGGCTGGAAACATTAAAGACTTTACCATTAAAGCTACCCATACTACCCCCAGGTCCAGGTACTGGCCACAATCGGCCACTAAGACCGCTTAAGCTGTCTGTGTCTGACTGGGCTATCCATCCAGGTGGAGCTGGTGGTTGGTGGGGCACTCCAGGTGTCATCGATGTCATCTTCGACTTTATAACACAAAAACACTTTGTAATCCCCAAATGAAGCGACGACAAGGAGTCGCCATATAAAAAAAAACATGGAAAATCATTTTTCCAATTTTCCAAGGGAGCCAGAAGGGGAGCTAGGGGGGGGGATCTATTGTAGTTGGCCACTTTATCGTTTTTATTCTTGCCAACCACATCCTCTATCACTCTACAAATCTCACCGGCACGTCCTGGCTAGCTGGATGGCTAGCTGGCTGGATGGTCAGGACATTTGCCATTCATGTGTTGATTTCCGTTTCCGCTTGCGACTCCAACGATTCTTGCAGTTTTTATTTTTTGAGGCCAAGTGTTTGCTCCTTTGGGGCATCGATTATGCCCCCATCATCGCAATTGTAAACCGATTTTCAGTTATTTCATTTTAGCCAAGGGAGAGGTCCTTCATCCTTCATCCTCCATCCTGCAGGATGTATGTGTGTATGCGACTGATTGATGTTTTTGCTGTGGCAGCCACAAAAACATGCCGCAGGACATCGGTGGCCGCATCGGTCTGGGTTTTGTAGCCCGAACCACTTGTGTGATTATTTTGCAATTTACCACTCGATTCTCCTCTTTTCAGCCACAACACAGAAGAGCAGCAGCACTGTGTGTGTGTCGCAGCAAAAAGCCAAAAAGCAGACTTTCAATTCAATTTTTCTGCCAAACAATTTTTCAGTTTTTTTCAGATGGCCATTCATAAGCGCTTCTTTTTTTGCATTTTTTTTTGCATTTTTTTGCGGCTCTCTCTCAATTGCAATTGAATTCATTCATTTATTCATTCCGTTCATTCCTGGCGGATGGCCGGAAGGAGTAGGAGTAGGAGGCAGGACCTCCTCGCGCTTCGATGAGCATTTCCGGCCCGTGCCAAATTAGCGCAAGCCTTTGGCATCGAACAACTATCCCGGCCGGGGAGTCTAGGGGGTGGTCAGGTCCGGCAAGGACACAAGGTCTATACTCTAAAAAAAATATCATAGCCACCCGAAGTACTTAGCTTAAAAAAATAATATTTAAAATAATAATATTTAAAACAAAAAAAATAAATAATAAATAAAATATAAAAAATTATAAACTACTTACACAACACTACCCACCGACTAAGGACAACCACTGTGCCTAACGGTAAAGAAACTCTCTCTCTCCTCCGACAAACACTTGCTCTCAGCTGCTAGGATTCCAAAGACGCTTCTCTCTCTTACACTCTCACAAAACAAAAACAAAAAAAAAACAAAAAAAACACAAACAACAGACAAGAACCGCGAAAAAACACAAAGAGAAGACGATAAAACGAATAACGGAACTTATTGGCGCAACTCCTTTGAGCCAGTTGCGCCAGATTCAAACTAAACACACATAATCAAATGATTTCATTAAAAATACAATATTCTTATTATGTTAGTTAGACTTAAAATATATTAAACCAAATCTTTAAACCGAAATAATAAAAAATTTCAACGATTTCCAATGATCGCCATTTGCAAAAACACCGAACAAGTACAAGACACAAAATCGAATAATAAATGCCTTGATTTCGCGATTTTTCGACTTCCCCGATTAATATGCACCAATATCCTTTATATTTATTCACTTTTCCGCACTTTAAACGCTTTCGTATTTAAAAAATTCACCATTTAAAAAATACAATTTCAAAGCTCGATCACCGCGGCGAAATAAGAGAGATGGGAGAATGAGGACTACTTGTAATCGATCAACAACTATCGATAACAGGTCCTTGTAGTGTTGGGAAACTTTTTTTTTTTTAATTTTGAAATTGGCGGTTAAAGAAAATTCAAATATCAGATAGAATTAAAGATCTCTAAGCTCCATAATTAAATCAAAGGACTCTATTGTAGGGAATAGAAACTGAATGGTAGTGAGTCCTTTCATTGAATTGCCAGACCTGATAAACAGTCATGTATTTTATTAGGCGCCCCCCTTTTGCTGGCTGAAAATTTCTGTCAGTGGAGCTGGTTTGGGGCGCAGGAGGGAGACCACGGCGTCCAGAGGACACTTGGCGGGCCGCCTTTTGAACTGCAACGCACTGAGCGGGTTTATGGCCGCAAATTCGCTTTGGCTTTTTGAACGCTTTATGGCTTAATTGGTTTCGGCCTGGTCTGGTTTCGGTTTGGGGATTGGGTTTGGGGATTGGGATTCCTGCTTCGGGTACCCATCGGAGCCACCTCCACCGGCCCCCATAAAGTTTACAGCATTTAATGGGCTTTACGATCAGCCAGCTCCTAATCTGCCCTTTTGTATTCCCCACTTAATCATCTGGCTTTCTTGTTTCAGACTCTGGCCTTCCCCAGTACGCCGGCCGAGGCCCCGGCGGCGGAGGCGACGACTCCATGTCCGAGGACCGCATTGCCCACATCCTGAGTGAGGCCTCCTCGCTGATGAAGCAGTCCAGTGCCGCCCAGCAGCAGCGCGATCACGGACGCGAGGACTCCCACAGCAACGAGGACAGCAAGTCACCGCTCCAGAGCTGCACCTCGCCCTTCTTCAAGGTGGAGCAGCAGCTGAAGCAGCAGCACCTCACTCCAGAGCAGGCCCAGCAGCAGCGGGAGCGTGAACGCGAAAGGGAGCGCGAGCGGGAACAGCAGCAGCGCCTGCGGCACGAGGATCTCGCCCAGGACAAGATGGCTCGGCTCTACCAGGAGCTTATTGCCCGCACTCCCCGTGAGACGGGTTTCCCCAGGTTGGTAATCCTCCTCTCTCCCAGTAACAGCCATCCTCTCCACTTCATCCTTCTAATCCACCATTTTCTCTATCACCCTTAGCTTCCTGCTGTCGCCCTTCTTCGGAGGAGCAGCCGGCATGCCAGGAGCAGCTGCCAACGCCTTCCCCGCCGCCATGGCCGCCGACGAGAACATGCGGCACGCCTTCGAGCGGGAGATCGCCAAGCTACAGCAGGCACAGCAGCAGCAGGCCCAGCAGCAGCAGCAGCAGTTCCCCAACTTCTCCAGCCTGATGGCCCTGCAGCAGCAGGTGCTCAACGGCGCCCAGGATCTCTCCCTGGCCGCCAAGGAGATCAAGCTGAATGGTCAGCGATCCTCGCTGGAGCACAGTGCCGGCAGCAGCAGCTGCTCCAAGGATGGCGAACGCGAAGACAACTACGCCGCATCCCTGCACGGCCTCAAGTCGGAAGGAGGCGGCACACCAGCTCCGCCCTCGGTGGGACAGCCTCCGTTGACGTCCTCTGGTGGACCCGGAGCCGGTGGAGCTTCCGGCGGTGCCGGTAGCAACTCGGCTGCCCCCAGTCCGCTGAGCAACTCCATCCTGCCACCGGCGCTGAGCAGCCAGGGCGAGGAGTTTACCGCCACAGCCAGCCCGCTCCAGAGGATGGCCTCGATCACGAACTCTCTGATCACCCAGCCCCCGGTGACGCCCCACCACAGCACGCCCCAGCGGCCGACCAAGGCGGTCCTGCCGCCAATCACCCAGCAGCAGTTCGACATGTTCAACAACCTCAACACGGAGGACATCGTGCGGCGGGTGAAGGAGGCCCTCTCCCAGTACTCGATATCGCAGCGGCTCTTCGGCGAGTCCGTGCTGGGCCTTTCGCAGGGATCCGTCTCGGACCTGCTGGCCCGGCCCAAGCCCTGGCACATGCTGACCCAGAAGGGGCGCGAACCCTTCATCCGCATGAAGATGTTCCTGGAGGACGAGAACGCGGTGCACAAGCTGGTGGCCAGCCAGTACAAGATCGCCCCCGAGAAGCTGATGCGCACCGGCAGCTACAGCGGCAGCCCCCAGATGCCGCAGGGCTTCGCCTCCAAGATGCAGGCCGCCTCGCTGCCCATGCAGAAGATGATGAGCGAGCTGAAGCTGAAGCCGGAGGGCCAGCAGCACCTCATGCAGCAGATGCAGGCGGCCGCCATGTCAGCAGCCATGCAGCAGCAGGCGGCGGTGGCCCAGCAGCAGCAGGTGGCGGTCGCAGCCGCCGCCCAGCAACAGCAACAGCAGCTCCAGCACCAGCACCTCCAGCAGCAGCACCTTCAGCAGCAGGCTGCGGTGGCGGCAGCGGCTGTGGCTGGCCAGCACCCGCACCACACAGCGGCGGCAGCGTTGCACCACCAGAGCATGCTCCTGACCTCGCCGGGTCTTCCGCCCCAGCACGCCATCAGCTTGCCGCCCGGCGGAGGCAATGCCAGCGGCGCCGGTTCCGGTTCTGGAGTGGCTCCCGGAGGAGCACCCAGCGCAAACAATGCCAGTCCCGCCGGTGGCGGTAGCGCCGAGAAGAAGCCCATGCTGATGCCCGTCCATGGTGCGAATGCCATGCGAAGCCTCCACCAGCACATGTCGCCCACCGTCTACGAAATGGCCGCCCTCACCCAGGACCTGGACACCCACGACATCACCACCAAGATCAAGGAGGCCCTGCTGGCCAACAACATCGGCCAGAAGATATTCGGCGAGGCGGTCCTCGGACTCTCGCAGGGCTCCGTCTCGGAGCTGCTGAGCAAGCCGAAGCCCTGGCACATGCTCTCGATCAAGGGCCGGGAGCCCTTCATCCGGATGCAGCTCTGGCTCAGCGATGCCAACAACGTGGAGCGGCTGCAGCTGATCAAGAACGAGCGGCGCGAGGCCTCCAAGCGGCGGAGGAGCACCGGTCCCAATCAGCAGGACAATAGCAGTGACACCTCCAGCAACGACACCAACGACTTCTACACCAGCAGCCCCGGACCCGGATCCGTGGGCAGCGGCGTGGGCGGTGCCCCGCCCAGCAAGAAGCAGCGCGTCCTCTTCTCCGAGGAGCAGAAGGAGGCTCTGCGCCTGGCCTTTGCACTCGACCCGTATCCCAACGTGGGCACCATCGAGTTCCTGGCGAACGAGCTCGGCCTGGCCACCCGGACGATCACCAACTGGTTCCACAACCACCGCATGCGCTTGAAGCAGCAGGTGCCGCATGGCCAGCCCGGCCAGGACAACCCCATTCCCAGCCGCGAGAGCACCAGTGCCACGCCCTTCGATCCCGTCCAGTTCCGCATCCTGCTGCAGCAGCGCCTCGTCGAGCTGCACAAGGAGCGCATGGGCCTGAGCGGCGCCCCGATCCCCTATCCGCCGTACTTTGCCGCCGCCGCCCTGCTGGGCCGCAGCCTGGGGATTCCCGGAGCCGCGGCAGCTGCCGGAGCAGCGGCTGCAGCAGCGGCAGTGGGTGCCGCCGGCTCGGGCGGAGCCGATGAGCTGCAGGCCCTGAACCAGGCCTTCAAGGAGCAGATGAGCGGCCTGGACCTCTCCATGCCCAGCCTGAAGCGCGAGCGCAGCGGCGACTACCAGGACGACATGGAGCACAACCTGAGCGACAACGAGAGCCTGGAGGGCTCCGGCGGCCAGGACGGCGACCTGGACAAGACCGGGGGCAGCACCGACTACGAGAAGGTCCTCCACAAGTCCGCCCTCGCCTCGGCAGCGGCGGCCGCCGCCTACATGTCGAATGCGGTTAGGAGCTCCCGCCGCAAGCCTGCAGCGCCCCAGTGGGTGAATCCCGCCGGTGCCGGAGGACCGGCCGCCAATCCCGTGGTGGCCGCCGCCGTAGCAGCAGCCGCCGCAGCAGCAGCGGCCGCCGAGGGCGAGCGGATCATCAACGGGGTGTGCGTGATGCAGCCCTCGGAGTACGGAGTGCGTGGTGAGGAGAGCGAGGGCAAGGGTGGCGAAGACTCCTCCATGGGGGGTGGCGATGCCGAGCTGGAGATCGACCAGAGCTTCATGGAGCCGGAGGTGAGCATCAAACAGGAGGAGGACGACGACGAGGAGGAGGAGCCGGCCCAGGCGCATCCCCTCCTGGAGGGCACCGCCGAGGAGGCCGCCGAGCAGAAGCTCAAGGTCGTCAACGAGGAGAAGCTGCGCATGGTGCGTGTCCGCCGCCTCAGCAGCAACACCGAGGAGTCCGCCGTGGGAGACTCAGCCAGTGGCGCCTCCAATCCCGCCGCCTGTTCCCCGCCAGCCGGTAACGGCAGTGGAGCTGGAGTCGGAGCCGGGGCTGGCTGGACCTATTAGGAACAGCGAACAGTGCAATGAGCGTTTACTTGTGATTAAGTTTGATTGATCAGAACATACCCCCCCTAGACACCCCCACACCCATACCAACACACACACATACATATATATATATATATATATATATATATATATATATATATATATATATATATATATATATATATATATATATATATAGATCTAAAGAATATAGCACTTAGGATCTTAGAAAAACTCTAAAAACACGATAAACCGATGAATAGATATGTTTTTTTTTTTTTTTTTACTTTTGTCTTAAGCGAGGATTAAGGATTAAGGATTAAGGATAATCCAGTTAGGATTAGGATGCAAAAGTTGTAATAGTTATAGCTAAAAGTTTAGAGACGCTATGCGAAAAACCCCCAGATAAAGAGCAAAAAGTATTAGAAAGGACGAATGGAGAGGAATACATATATATATATAGAGAGAAGATATAGAACCCTGACTTGCCGAAGAACTTTAACCAAAACGATGTCGAAATCCAGAGCGAAGAAGATCTGATCTTTGAAAGATCATAGCGATTCTTACGATTTGTTTCTACTTGAAGACTGTAAGCAAAGGCGGTACACGTAATTCTACGCTAAACATATATTATTATATTATATATATATATTTTTTTTTTTTTCAAAAAATCTATTATTATTATTATTATTATAAATATTATTATTATTGCTATTATTATTGTGTAGAGGTAGACATGTAAATAATTAAATAAATTCTGTAAATAGAGTTTCTTGCGAGGCACAAAACACTTGCTTTCGATCTTCCTACGATATAACCCATAAAAAAATTAAAATCGAAAAAAAAAAATTAAAGATTTGAAAATTAAGGATAACCATCAGCTACCGACTTGTTTAACTATCTTTTGATCTCAAGAAAAAAAAAAAACTACAAAAAACTAAAAAGCTGAATTAAGAAGAAAGTGAATAGAGGATAAAGGATAAAGGATAGAGGTTAGAGGATAAAGAATAATGAGGAGAAAGACCCAAAGTAAAAGATAGTTAAAAGAGAAAGTTGAAAGGAGGAGAAAGGCTCCAAGGAGCAAAGTTGTTTTCCCACATTCTGGTTTTTTTTTCATTATTTCTTTGGATGGAAAGCAAAGCAAAAATAAAAATTATACAAAAAAACAATAAAATTCGTAAATTTTGAATTTACATAAAAAATTACACAACAACAAACACCAACCACAAACACACACAAAAAAAAACATAATATACACACACCTTTAATGAATAATTGATTAATTCATAATTATAGCAAAAATAAACATGCAACATGCACTAAATTATTTATAATCTATTATTATTATATACATAACTGTAATGCATATTCAAATTATACAAAAAAACAAAAACAAAAAACAAAAAACATAGAGCGATGATGATCGGATCGGATCGTGGAACTTTATCAACCTTTAGCCTAACGGTATTTTCGATTTGCATCAAAGCCCTAGCATAAAATAAACAATTTTTTTCTGTAAATCTAAAAATATTACAAAAAATTTAAAAAAACAAAAAAAAAAACAAACACAAACCGCATATCGTACTAAAGAAATTACATGAAAAAAAAAAATAATTAAACGATTTAAAAAAATATATATATATATGAGAAAAGTCTAGTAATTAAGACAGCCAACTTTTTTTTTGCCTAGCTTTAAGTTTACACGTAATCGTAATCTTAAAAAACAAATTTAAAATAAACATGCAACAATAAAAACTCAATCTGTTTTCCTAAATGATCAAGAGACACAACAACAAACCACAAAACCAAGAGAGCAAAAAACAAATTTTATTAAATATTTAAAAAACAAACCTATTTTTTTTCCTAGACTAAATGTTAAGCTAAAAAAAAAAACCAGAGTTCTCAAACCAAAAAAATAAGCGACATCCCCCCCCCCCCATTCTTCATTAATAACCATTATGGTAGGAAAATGTATATATAATAGTGAGGAGGTATGGGAGCTACCAAAACATATACCAAACAAACAACATTTCAAAAAAAAAAAAAAAAAACAAGGATAATGCTAAAATCGAATAATATCCTTGGCCTCTGTCCTGTCAGTTAGGATCGATTCGAGAGTTTGCCCCAAAAAAAAAACACAATCCCGTTCGCGGTTAAGTTTATCCAAGTTACATACATTTGCATTTTATACGCTTTAGCTAAAGAATAATGAAATAACATTATAGTACGGATAATACATACATACATACATAAATACGAATCGATTAATAAAAAAAATATATATATGATATATATGCCGAGTACGGAATAGCAAAAGTTGAAAAAATAAAAAACGACACGTTTTACAAAGAAAAGATAATGATGGATTCGCAACTTTTAGTTTTAGTTACTTTTTTTCGACACGATTTTTGTCTTGGTATTTTATTATTATTGTAATTATAATTCTAATTAAACTATATTATATTATATATATATATATATATAAATGAGAAATCGAAGAGGAGGATGCAACGACAACAACATACCAATAATACATGAACATGAAACTTTATCAAATAAAATGTTTTCTTAAACGAAAAAAAAAACAAAAACCCATCGAAACCCTTTTTTTATTTTCAAAATCACATCGAGGCTTTATGATTTCCCCTCAACACCACCACCACCACCCCCACGAGAAGCTCTAGCCCTTGAGGAACGAAAGTACTCGCATCCCCATATCCCCCCAAAACTTCCCTCCCACCAATAATGCGGATACACTTAAAGAAATCAAGAGGCAAGCTCTGAATAGGCCCTGAATATATAGCATACCTCTGGGAGCTCCAAAATTCCGATAAAACCGATAAACCGATATAAGCCTATATAGACTTAGACATATATACTTATATATATATGCATGATCAGCATTTTTATACATACGTAGATATATACATATATAAAACAGATATATATGTGAAAACAATATGCGGTGCTACCCAAAATTAAAAAAAAAAAAATAAAAAATAAAAACATATATATATATCCAGATATAGAATCGTAGGGCGATGAAAATTTTTTGCATAGATCCGTACTATACAGCATCCGTACGATTATAGGATCGGTCCGATCACACAAAAGACACACATACATACGTAATTAATATATAGAGATAATCCAAAATCTGAAATCAAAAGTTAAGCTGTACAGGACACAAGAGATTACGAAAATTATCCTTCCAATCTAAGACACGACTCACCATCTCTTTTGATACCCCTTCTGGCACCCTCTATATCTATTGAATTAAAGCCCAGATCCAGGTCCAGATCCAGAGACCCAGTTAGCTGTAAATACAATCCACTTACGAGTCAAGATACATCATAATAATATTACTAAACCAGACCATATCAGTTTTGTGTTTAAACTCTAACGCCTAAGGATAGTGAATCGAGGGATATATACATACAAAAGCAGTTATTTTAGCAGGCCCAGTGCAGCATGACTCGAAATAGCCATATAGTGTTAGCCAGCAGATATATATATACAAATATATATACACAATTACGATATATATATGCAAACAGAACTGTTGAACCAAGATGAACATTATGAAATGTAGTTAACACACATTGGGCGATCGATACCCGGTACCCGGTACGACACCAAGCCGAAGACCTAAGTTCTCCACCAAAAATTAACAAAATAATGAATCTTGATGAGAACCAGCTCCGTTTTTCAGTTTCAAATCCGCCCAAAAAAACAGAAAACCATAAAAATACAGAAAACAGAAAACAGAAAAATGTTAAATTAGCAAAATGTGCCCAAAAAACAAAAAAAAAAACAATTAATAATTAACAATTAACACTTAAAATAAAAAAAAGCAGCAAAAATATCAAAAATTTACATATAACAACCAGAGGAAAATAGAAAAAAACCAAAACAGTATATAGTTATAAATATATATATATATATTATACATAGATACTAAACTTAAGCACATACACTTTTTGGCAACCTCGGAATCGAACTCAAAAATCGAACTCGAAATCATTTTAAGATCTAAGAGCAATTAGACATGGGAATTAACCAAAAAAAATTAAAAAAAAAACTTAAACTTGAAGGATATTTTTTTGTAGCATTTCTTGTATAAATGCACGACAAAAACACACAGAAAACTCACAATGAAAAACTCAATTAAAAGGTAAAATAATTGTTTTTTTTTTTAACTTAAGCTAATCTGTAACCTTTGATTTGGAAACGATTCGGTTCGGACGAATAGTGTCTGTATTTTCCAGCATCCGATGATATATAAAATTAGAAGGCATGTCTCGATAAGTCGGAAGTGTGTTATCGAGTTAGAAACATTCATAATGGTGGACACGAGTAACGGTACACGATGCAATGCAAATATAAATAATAACAACCGATAATATGATTAATAAAACTAGTTTATATAGCATGTAAAACTGAACAGAAAAATCAAATTCAATAAAGAAGAATCTACTGTATTCCAATTCGAAAGTGGCGCCTTTTTTAACCACTGGGTTGATGGTTAGTGTCCGGGATTGAGCTTTCTGTGGTTGGCAACTTGGCTAAGTGCACCCCACGTTGGGCGCCACATACACACGAGCTTTTAGTCCTGGAGAACACTGTAACACTTTAGCCCACAAATTTAAAGACATGAGTGATTTTGCTTCGATATCAACAGATGGGTGGAGATTAATTTATTTATTGAATGTCATACACAATTCGCTTATTCACAAAGGTGCAGGCCCAAAGGTCAGTCCTCGATCTGTTTCGCACTTTTTTTTTGGTTTTTTTCTCAGTGTCTCTCTACGAGTTTAGCGCAACAAACTAGAACGCAAAAAATAAAACCTCATCCAAAATGTAGAAAATATGTTATGTCTAAAAAAATACACAGAGTTGGGCAAACAGTTCCATCAAATCCACTGTCCATCCTTTTGCTTCCCTCGTACATATAATACATACATATGTATATATATATATATATAATGTATATAAATATATAATTGTATTTGATTTGCTTAAGTTGCTTGGTTATCCATCTTGGTTGTATATTTTTTTTTGTATTTGATGTTTGGTACACAGAGGTTAGAAAAAACAGGCGCTAGCTGAAACCTTGGAGGGCAAACAACAGGTGATGATCCTACTCATCGGAGATATAGAAAAGGTTCGATATTTCGAGATGTTTATCGGTTTATACCCTGTAGTCTGTACATTGTTTTGGTTTAAAATTCATATATATATATATTATCGTATTTGAGGCCAAAGCAAGGCGTTATCGGGATTTCTTCTAGCTTTAAGCTAATATTTCAACAAACGAGTCTACGGCGATTACAAGCTCTAATCGATTAAAGAGGGGTAGTGGGGTGATGGGGAGGCGCCAGGCACTTTACAATAGTTTAACAAAACCCTATAACTATAACTAGAAGCTATTAACTAGAAAATAAAACCACTCTTTAGAAAATAAAAGAAATAATTCACATTTTGATTTGTGTGTATTTGGTACGCAAAAAAAGGTTTTTGTATAATCATATGTATATGTTCCGATATACACCAGCATGAATATATCATAATAATAATAATAGTAATAATAATAATAATAATAATAATAATAATGATGCGATATAATTAAAAATAGAAGAAAAAAAAACAGTGTAACAAAACTGGTTTTTTGCTCATTGCGATTGGATCTGATCAGGATCGGTACAAGGATCGTTACAAGGCTCAGGATCGGGGATCAAAGGTTAAAGCTTATGGTTGTATATATATATAACAATAGATGGGTGTCTGTATTTGCTATTGCTGTGTGTGTATGTGTGTGTATTACAATCTAATTGTTTAGAATTTTTTTTAACCTTTAAACTTAAGACGACAACGACGATTGTCCGTCCGACACTGTGGGTCGTGCGAGGGGGGTTAGAAGGGGGCTATCTGGTTCTTAGACTACGACTACAATTACTTTGTTGTTTTCGCTTCTAGTGGGGGGGGGGGGGGGGGTAGGAGTTAGTTCACACATCATCCTTTGTCCTGCAACCAATTCAAACACAAAACCATGGTCATATATAATCGTAATAATATTAAGGTCTGGGGAAGGGGCAACAACTAGCAAATGGCTTTTAATTATTTAGTTTAGCTGGTAAACGGTAATATATTTTTATAGATTAATTAAACTTTAATGCGATCTTTGCTTTGCTTTTGCTACAAAAGGTACTTGAAGTGTGACATTCTAGTGTCAATAGTGGCTTATTAGGTCATCCTTGGTTGCCTTGGTTGGTATAAACGATGTGTGTTAGTTGTGTGTGTGTTAGTTATTTTATATAACTGCTACTACTGTTAGCAGGAACTCTGGGATCTCTGGGTTTTTTTTGGATTTTTCATTCAACTAAAGTTTGATTCTCGTTTAACAAATGTTTTCTCATTTCAACTAGACTTACGATTAGGATTTGTTTTTAGCATTTTGCTCTTAATGGTTTTTGTGGTTTTGTTTTTTTTACTTAACGACTAAATATCTTTGATTTAACATTTGCTTGAGTTGGTTTCTGGTTTTCTGGGGGTGTCGGGTGATTGGGGGGCTTGGCCTTAGCTCTAGCAATATATAGATATAGAATATATATATATATATATGTACTCGTGTATCCGTATATAACAAAGCAGTTCAAACAATTCAACAGATCTCTCATTATATCATATTTTTGTTTTTTTTTTAGTTTTTAGCTAAGGACTCAATTATTAAGGCGCTAAATGTGTGTGTGTGTGTGTTTCCTTTACTTGGCTTATCTTATAAGATATCTTTTCTATATATATATATATATATATCATCAATCATAATTATATATCTCTCTTTTGGATTAATTTTTTGCAAGTTTTCAATTAAAACATTTTTCGAACTTTCTTGTTCCATTATCCTTTTCTTTTGGTTTATCTTTCGATTTAATTAAAAGCTACAACTTATACTTATTGCGCTAGTCACGATTTCATTTTGGGGTCTTAGCAGAATTTGTAGTTTCTTTGTTGTTGTTGTTGGGACACCTCCTACTCCTCTGGGTCCTACTTTTGGGTCCCTATTCGTTTCACGTTTTAAAAGCAAAAGGTCTCTACACGGTTTTAAGGTTTATGATTTAAGGTTTTAAAGGGCTTTAAGGTTTAATCTTTAAGGTTTATGTTTTATGATTTAAGGTTTTGGTTAAAAGTATTCTTGTTTTAAAATATTTGCACATTTTAAAATTACAAACTAAAAGATAACTAAACCTACTAACTAAAGGTCAGGAGCAAAAAACAAAAAAAAATCGGCTAGATGGCTAATAAATCAATATAAGGTAATAATCGGTAATCAATAATCGATAATCGGTTATCGTATTCAAAAAAATAATATAAATGGCCAACAATCAATCAATCAATCAATCAAATAATCAATAATAAAAAGAATTCTATATAAAAAACACATCTAGATCTACATTCTAAATTAGTTCCAACCATTAAAAAAAATATAAGGTTCGATAATTTGTATAACAAACACAGGAAGGTAATCGATACACGTCTTGGGGGCTTGGGGGGCCTGGGTGTGGGGTCTAGGACTGGGTCTCAGGCGGTAAGCAAGAGCTGGGGGGGGGGTAAGTTCATCCGGTCTCGGTCTCGACTAAATGCTCTCTGTGATCCTCACTTTAGAAAGAGATAACAACTGGGTCGTGGCAGGGGCAGTGGGTGGCACGGTGGGCGGGCTGGCAGAAGGTAGCTAACAGGAGGACCTGGCAGGACGAGCCCGCCATTAGGTCCACCTGCCGCCAACCTGGCGCCACATTCACCGCATGCAGGCCGACTTCCGCTTCTTGGTGCGCAGTGGACCGCGTAGAGGCTTCACCTTGTTGCCGCACTTGCTGGCCGCCATGGCGGCGCTGAGGCTCTGGGGCAGCATACCTGCTCCCACGCCGTACAGGCTGCCGCCACCGACCGCCGGGCTGAAGAGGTCCTGGTGCTGTTGCGCCACATTGGCCGCCGCGCTACTGAGGAGGGCCATCTTGCTGCCACTGCCGTTCGTGTACATGCCGACCACCTGGGAGGTGGTGAACGGATGGTACTGGAGGTGGTGCTGCTGCTGTTCGCGGTGCTCCTCCTCGAGGCTCTGGCTGGAGGCGCGCTTGTGGGGTGAACCGTGACTGCTGCCGCTGCTCCCGTTGCTGTGGTAGTGGGTGGTGGCCACCGAGCCGCACTCCACGATCGAGGAGCGCGACAGCGATAGCAGGGCATCCACTCCGTCGCGATGTCGCTGCTGGTCGGCCAGCTCCTCGGGCGTGATGTTGTGGCTGCTCAAGGATTAGGAATCAGATTAGTGTTCACAGTAAGGGACTGCCCTCCGACTCACTTCTCTTCGCTGCTGTCGTAGGCCGCGTCCGAGCTGGCGCAGTTGCTGTCGGATCCGCCTCCGCCCTGATGGATCTGGGCGGACTGGACCGCCGTCTGGGCCAGCAGGTTGCCGTTCGTCAGTGGTGTGGAAGCCCCGCTGTCCGCGTTGCTGTTACCGCCCGCCGAGTAGGTGTGGTCCTCGCTAGGCGAGCTCGTGATCACCGGAGCGCTCCTGAAACATCCAAGAATGCTGGTAAGTGGACTCTATTGCTCTCAGTGCGGAGTACTTACCCGTTTTGGAACGGTTCGCTGAAGGCCTTTGGTCCGTGTTTGAGGAAGAGCATCGCCGCCGCCGCGTGCACATCGTCCATGCTGTCCGCTCCGCAGTCCCGCGCCAGTCGCTCGTAGTTGATGCTGCCCTCTGGAGCTGGGGGCGCCACCACGCCGTTGGCTCCGCCGCCTCCCAGTCCCAGTGCTCCGCCGGCTCCGTTCAAGCCCACAAAGTTGTACTTGACGCCGTTGTTGTTGTTGTTGGCAACGCTGGTGCTGTTGTTGTTGTTGTTGTTATTGTTGTGGTGGTAGTCCCCGGAGAGATCCTCGTCGACGACGTCCTGGAGCAGTGGCTGGCCGGCGGAATCCTCGCGGATATTGCGGAAGGCCTTGGACAGGTTGGGGAACAGCTTGGGATCGAAGCGGGCGTGGCTGCCGGCCGCTCCTCCCCCGCCACCGCCGGGGCTGTGCGGCGTGGCCGCACTCTGCGACTGACTAGCGACATTGGCCATCACCAGGCCGTTGCTTTTCGAGGGCGTGGACAGGGCCACGGCAGCTCCACCCGCTCCAGCTCCCGCCCTGGACCCGGTCCCGGCCAGCGGTGCACCCTGGAGAGAGGCTACTCCCTGAATGCCGCCATCCAGGCTGTCGTAGGTCTGGGCGGAGCCACCGTTGCCACCACCGGGGCTCTTCAGCGAGGGACTGATCTTGTCCACCGCCGAGTTGGAGAAGTACGGCGACCGGTTGAGGGCCTGGATGAGATTCTGGCGCTGCTGGGGCTCCACGCGCCACAGCGATCCCTTGCCCATGTTCGGCGCCTTCTCCACCTTCACGAAGCTCTTGTTGAGGGACAGATTGTGGCGGACGCTGTTCTTCCAGCCGTTGGGCGCCGTCTTGAAGTACGGAAAGTGCTGGACGATCCAGGCGTAGATCTCCTTCACAGGCAGCGCCTTCTCGTTCGAGCCCTCGATGGCCATGAAGATCAGGGAACTAAGGAGAGAGACAAGGGGGAGGAAAGGCCTGAATCAGATGTGTCCCAACTGGAGGAGCAAAGAGGAGACCCACCTAAAGCTATATGGCGGCTTGTTGTTGGTGTGGACGAGCGGGTCGTATGGCACGTTGTTGGGATGCTTCTGCTTCTGGGGCGTGGCATTGCTGCCGCTGCTGTAGCCATTGGCGGCGCCTCCACCCGCCTTGCCACCGCCACCTCCGTACTGGGGGGTGCTGGTGTGCATCCGCGAGCTCACCACCATATCGAAATCCTTGAGCGAGTCCTCGTTGTCGTAGCTCGCATAGCTGTTGGGGCTGCGCAGGTTGGAGCTGCCGGCTCCCACCAAGCCCCCGCCCGGTACAGATCCGAGGTGGCCCGTGGGCGTCATGGGCGGGGGCGGAGGCGACACGGACAGCGGCAGGCTACGCGTGGCCGGACCCGTGCTGCTGACACCGCCCGCGGAGGTCGTGTAGTAGGCTCCGGGCATCAGAGCCCCTCCGGCCGGAGTCTCGGGCGAGGCCATCTGGGCTGGCGTGGATCTGAAAGAGACGGAGCGAGTGTTACGAGGCGATCGTGAGGGGGGTGGTCGATCGTGGACTTACATGACGTGCGGCGTTCCGGCCACGAGGTCCACGAAGCTGTAGCCTGGCGGCAAGGAGCCGGCGCTGATGACCACAGAGGAAGCTGGAGCCTCCGAGAAGGCGGAGGGGGATGCGGCAACGGAGGCGGTTACAGAGACGGCAACGGAGACGGGAACAGAGGCGGCGGCGGTGGCAGAGGCCTCCTGCTTGCTGGCGGGCGGAGTGCTGGTCACTGTGGTGGCGTAGTTGATGGCCTCAAACACCGAGGTGAAGCTACTGCTGCTGCCCTTCGGCACAGGACTGTTGCCACCGTTTACGGCCGCCGTCGAGGATGCAGAGCCCGAACCCGAGCCCGATCCGGAACCGGAACCAGAAACAGAGTTGCTGGTGGAGCTGGAGCTAATCGAGGAGTTGTTGGAGGAGGCGGGAGAGCTGACCACGGTCACGGTGGAGGCCACATGGCTGCTCTGGTCCATCTGTACGTGCATCTTCTCCCGCAGGTACTTCTTGTGCGGGTGGTGGGTGGTGGTGCTGTTGCTGCTACTGCTGCTGCTGCTGGTGGTGGTGTTGGTGGGTGAGCTGAGCGCCGCCACGGCCGCCTTGAAGCCGCTGCCTCCGTTGCTGGTCACGAAGATCTGCGACTGCTGCTGTTGCTGCTGAGGTGGTGGCGCTACCGCCTGCTGTGCTGCGAGTGTGGGTTTGGCGGGCGAGAGGGTGGCTTGGGCGGGCAGGTATCCGTGCCCCAGGGTGGTGCGCTGGTAGACCTGTTGTTGCTGCTGCTGCTGCTGCGCCGACTGCGACTGCGACTGACTGTTGGCCTTGCTGGCTTTGTACTCCACCACGGTGGTGGTGCCACTGGGTCCCTTGTGCACCGTGGTGGTGCTGTACACCGCCGCGCCCGTCCCCGCAGCTCCAGCCGGGTGATCCTGCTCGCTGGGATGCTCGCTCGGCGGCAGCTCCTCGATCAGGTCGCTCACAATGCACACCGAGCCCGGAGTGGAGCCCGGCGTGGTCTTCAGCGCCACCGCCGCTCCTCGCTTCAGTTGGGCGGCCGCTGCGGCCGTTCCACTGGAGGTCACGATGCCCTTGATCAGGTTCCGGTCGTTCAGCCAGCTCAGGGAGCGCAGCTCGCCGTCATCGCCGTCGGTGGGTCGAGCTCCGACTCCGGCTGCCGCTGCCGCCGCGGCCAGGGCGTCCGCGGAGCCCATCTCGAGAGGTTCCGCCGCCAGGAGGACTATATTGCCACCGGCCGCTCCGCCGGCTCCTGCCCCCGTACCCGCCTGGGGAGCGTTTACTGCCGCTGCTGCCGCCGCGGAGGCACTGTCGTAGGCTGTGAAGCCGCCACTATGATTGTGCTGCAGGAGCACATACTTGGACCCACTGGCCGGCATGCTGGCCATCACTAGGGGCGTGGCTGGGGGCGCTGTTGCTGGGGAGGATGTACTGCTACTGCTACTGCTACTGCTGCTGCTGGTGATGGTTGTGGTGGCGGGTGGTGCAATGCTGCGGTATCCATGGGCCGTGGTGGGAGCCGGGGCGGGGGTCGGGCCTTGGAGGTGACCCCGCAGCTGGCTCAAATCCCGCAGCTGTGTGGGACTATCTGTGGACATGCTGCAAGATGGAAGACGAAAGGTAGAATCAGTTTCTGGCTGGCTTATAAATCAGAAATTCCTATCTAGTTACTCGATAATCTTCGAATATTTTTGTAGTCATGCTGGATGATCTAATGACCCATTGGTGGAATGATCAATCCATCCATTATTCACCGACTCGTGCTGCACTTTGTTCGGTCATCAAACTATTAGTTAGCTTTCCGTGACTCTCCCTCGCCCCCTCTACCCTACTCCCCCACTACCCCACTCCGACTAGACAACAAATCGCATAATTGCTTTGGAACGTCCTTCGCTCTTTTTATTGCATACTTTTCCGCGCCCCTTGGTTCTCCGCCATTGCACTGTGGGGCAAATGAACACTTTTGCTGGAAATATTTCATGCCAAAAGAACCAATAGTTTTTATTTGATTATGTTGGCTTAGGCTATAGACTATATATAGACTATAGGAAACTAGGCGTGTCAACATCCTCGCCGCCCATAAAAATTTGAAAAATGTTGATATTATTGGGAGTTTTTGAGCTAATCTAAGCTTAGAAGTTCACCACGTCCCTTTCCGCCCCATAAATTAAAACAAAATTAATATTATTACTTAATAATATTCAATTAATGCCATTTATATACAAAATTTATCCAATTTTTGCTTTAAGTTTAATTTTTATTATAAAAATTCAGCTAAAAAGGCTTTTAAAAACTAAACAAAATTATACACTATCTAGTCTCTTTTTAGTTTATAAGACACCCAAAGTTTAAACAATTTATTAAATTAAACACACAGTAAAAACCACCTTAATTATTAATTATCTTTCCATTATTTTTATTCATCAAATTTTCATTATAACTTATCGCTTTAAAATCCAAAAAAAAATGTATAATTAAAGTCACATTAAAAATATTGCAACTAAAGCCCAAGCTAAATATAAAATTAAATGAATGTTAAATATAACATTTTAGAGTTAAAAACATCATAGTTTGATTTACAATAGTTTCAAATTAATTTATAACTTTTAAAAAATACCCCATAAAGTGCTCATATATCCCATAGTGCATTAGGTTCCACTTTACGCAATCGAAGACATATTTTTTCTGTTTTGTCTTTTGTTTTTTTTTTGCTTCTAACTTACGCGTGTTTGCTTTGGGGCCGTTTTATGACGCCAGAAGCGTGTATAGAGCCCTCTCTTTCTTACACTGAGAGAAACAATGTAGCTGCGAGAAACTAATACTCCCAGTGTACTTGGTGATTAGGAGATTATCTTATCAGCCAGTGTGGTGGGAGTACTCCGTCCGTGCTTTTCCGCAACCGATTTTCATCGGCCCGGAATCGGGATCGGGAGTCCAACGATCAGCTAGCGATCGGCACAGTGGGCCCCCGTTAGTCACCCCAGTCGGGGCCCAGAACGACGGGCCATTACCTCGAAGGCAATTAACTGAAATATTCATTTGGCCCGAGGGACGACTTATGCGCCGGTTGGGCACGCGAATCGTTGAGGTGGGTGGAGGTGGGGGTGGTGGTGTAGTTCTCAAGGCAGCCAACAAAGTGTATTATTATTTATTGATTTTCATTTTCGTTTGAGTTACGGGCTGCGGGCTGAAGAAAAGTCAACAGAACCGTTGAGATCCAAGATGGTTATTGACTTGGACGGGCGCTGCATCAAGTATACGCCACGTTGCCCTCCCTTCCTCTCCCAGGGAATGCAAGACCATGCATGTCTGCATCATGATTATTAGCCATTCCTTTGGATCTCCATGTCCGTGCTTTGAAAGGGGTGGGCAAGGCGGGGGGGGAGGCACTATCGCGCCACAACAAACCCGTAAACGTGAAACACAACAAACGCGACGAGAGAACGAAACAATAACAAAAACACAAACAATAACAAAAACAAAAAGCTCCACCGACCTCCAAATGGACGGCTGCGCCGGCGTCGCTGTCAGCGCCGACTGACGTCCAGACTACACTGAGAAAAAAGCTCTCCAAACTATTAAGATTTCAGACCATATTATGATGATTAATCAGGTATTGGTTTTCTTGCTGTGTAGACAGACTGGAATCTAGCGAAAACAAAAAGCTTGCGGCGCAGATTTGTTACTTTTCTTGCCATTTTTTGTATTTTTTGTTTTTTTTTTCGAAAGTTTCGTTGTCTTGGCAACTTTTGTTTTTTTTTTTTCGCCACCGAACAACAACAAAATAATAACAAGACGCATACGAGCGTCACAAGAGAGCCCCGTGTCCCTCCATATAAGGGGGGGAGAGAACGCCAGTAAGAGAGCCTCCAACAACGTGGTGGCCAGGGCGATAGGAGCCCTGGCGCGCCTTACCGGGTAGGAGAGGGGGGAGGGTTTGAGTTTTGAGTTGCCTTTGACATAATTAATTAGCAACGAATATGGCCGACAACAACAACAACTGCAAGTGCTGGAAGCTCACCGTTTTATTTTCATGCCAAAAATGCCGATACATCGTGTCTGAATTTGTCGCGCTCTCTCACCGCCTCTCTAGCTCTCTCTCACGTTGGGGATTGTTTATCTCTGGGTTGGCGGGTGCGATTGTTTTCCGAAGAGCATGACACACACAGAGAACGAGACACCGTGGAACGAGAGGGCAGCAAGGCGTTTGTTTTCGAGTCGTGGTTGGGATGCGACAGTAGGGTCCCGCTATAGGGGTCACCAAATCTCACCACGCTACTACTAACCACCTATCCTACTGGCATTTCTTGCCCAATAACAAACTGTATGTGCTTTGAGATTAGCGCAGTTCTAGAAACGTCAACGTCAGCGTCAGCGTCAAATTGCTGCTCTCTGGTTTCTGGCATTTCTGGCTTTTGGGCTTTCTGCTTGTGACCTGCGGACCTTTTGACAGCGCAAGTGGAGGAGGACGAAGAAGCAGAAATAGCAGCTGCTTTAAATGTCAACTGGGTGGGCGGATGGGGTGGCAGCATGAGCAAGCGTAGGGGGGAAGCAGGAGAGAGAGCAGAACGAGCGTCTTGCATTTCGGCCTTTCTTCTGGCAGCCAATTAACAGGGAAACAAAAGCAGCAGCCACAACCAGCGGTAACTGTACCTGGTGCTGCTGCTAGCACTGCTTTTTTTTACTGTTTTTTTTTTTGCCGAAGAAAAGCAAAATAAAAGCATACACTATGCATAGAGAGAAAAATCACGCTAATGAAATGCCAGCACTGAAGCGCCAGAATGATGAAGTGAATCATCATACATCCAGAGATCCAGATCCAGACCCAGATCCAGATATAAACCAAACAATGTGCACAAATGCGGCGCACGGATGCCATGAGCGTATCAAAAACTGAAAAAAAAAAAATAAAATAACAACGAAACCGAGCCACTTTAGTGGCAAACAAACCAAAGACTAACAAGTGGAGTTTAACTACACAAACTATCCAAAAGGGGGTTACGACTAGGTGATACCCCTTAATTAAACAAAAAAACGAACTAACTGCTTAAAAGCCATATAGTGGCTTTAGATTTCGTACAGAAATTAGTTTAGAAATAGTCTAGCATATCCTCTGCTACCCTGTATAGGCAATAAAAAAAACCTCGTGGAGTAATCAGCGTGCGACTTGTTCGATACTCACACATACCGATGCAAGCATGAACATGAATATGAGTGCTTCTCTCCCACAAATTTCTGAGAGTGTATCAACAAACGCTCTTCCTCTTGCCAGTTTAGCGACAACAACAAATAATTGACAGCCAGCATGATTTTGTGTTGTTATTATTGTTGTTGTTGTTGTTGTGAAAATTGTCGCCCAATTGAAATGCCAATAAAGAAGAGGCGCGAAAGAGACAAAAGCTAGGCAACAAAATAAAAAAAAAACACAAAGCTAATGTGAAAATCTATTTGGAAAAAAGGGTAAATGAGCTATTTCCTCTTTTTAGAAAACAAAAAATATAATAAAAATAACGAGCGTGAGACTAAAATAACTGCAACTAACCATAAATAAATAAAATATTTGGAACAACCGACCGATAGAGAGAGAAGAGAGGCCAATATAGCCGGTATTTTCTGGCTTTGTTGCCCCCGCTCTTTTGCCGCTCTTCTCAATTTATTGTGGTGATAAAATATAGCAGTGTTTTAATTGCATGTCTTTGTGTCTCCTCCTCATTTAAATGTACAATAAACAATAGGCAAAAATAATGCAGCAGCTTTCAAAACATTTCACGTAACAACAAAGAGCGAATAAAAATGCGAGGGAGGTGGGGCGTGTAAGAGAGCGGGAGGCGTGAGAGAGTCAAAGCTTTCGCATACTTCCGGCCGTCAACAAGATAACAGAAAAGCGAAAAGGCAGCAGCGTTTTTTGAGAGAAACCTACTGCCCACTCACACTCCGCTCACGCTCTCTTTCAGGGGGGCTCTCTTCTTCGGCCTGGGGCTCTGGGGAAACATAAACAAAAATGACTGAAATTCATTCACCTAATGGCGAACAAAGGTAAGTCGGAGATGACAGAGACGAAAAGGCTAAAAAAAAAAAACTACACTTTTCGGCTTGGCTTTTGGGACGCAGGCATATTTTTAGCAGATAAGTGCAATTATAAATAAAATCAAATCGAAGCGTTCACTTCGTTGTCGTCGTCACCATAAATACACATATGTACATATATTTTCGAATTTTCTCGAGAACACGACAACAACAGCAACAGCAACAAGAGCAACAACAATACGAGCACAGAACAAACCACGCGGCGTATACGTAATGCCCCGACTGTCAGTGTTCTGTGTGACGTGTGCATGTGTGTGTGTTGGGGTATATTGCTTCTCTTGCTTCTCTCAACCGTCTCGCTCTTTTTCCTTGCACATTACGTATACGCCTGGGTAACAAGAAATTGTCGGAAAGAAGCGGCTCTGGCGAAAGAAAACAACGCCATACGCTGCCGCCACCAGGGCGTATGAGTACTTTTTTCCCAAAAAGGATCCTTATCTGAACAAAAAAAAATAAATAAAATAAAAGTCAAAATCGAAAAAGTATGAATTTGTTTAAAATTATAAATAAAATCAGCGATCTATAGGCTTGTTTATTGTGCGAGTGTGTACACACTGAAAAACGCAACAAGGCCGCTAGAAAAACGCTTTTGGCGTTTATAATCGCTCGACGCTTTTGTTGTCTTTCTCTTTTTGTTGCTTCTGCTGATTTTATTGTTATTTTCCATTGTTGCTGCTGTTGTTGTTTTTGCTGTTTTTAGCTTTTTTTTCGCGTCGCAGCCTGACGACTCTCTCAGAAAAAAAAAACAAATGGCAATGCACGTGTGTGTGCGAGAAAGCATATGGGCGCGATGGAGATGGGGATGGGGGGGCGAAGAAAGCGGCGAGAGTGTGCCGACTAAGAGAGAGAGAATGACTTTATTTAGTGTGTCACCTCCCACCGTCCCTCCCCCACACCCCACGCTGCTTCTCTTTGGAAGCGAGCTTTAAAAGTAATTATTCATGATTATGATTTTATTGTGTCTCCTGTGGGTCAGTACAGTGGGCACTACTTTTAAGTGAACTTTGATCGTTGCATAAATAAATGGATGTCTACACTTGGAGAAAAAGTAGTGCTAAAATAGACTATTCTCTTGATGGCTTTTTTTTGTATTATGGTAATTCTATAGGAATATAGTTTCTTTTGGGCAGAAGCTTTCACTGTATTCGCAAAACGCATATCGTTTCGCTAACAGGACGCTAGAAGAGAGCCCAGAAGAGAATGGGGGGAGCCAGAAGAGAGCCGCTGACGTCGCTGCCCAAAATTCAACGTGGTTTCTTGACTTTTTTTTTTGGTTTTTGTAGTTTTTTTTTTTATTTGGTTTCTTTTTTCGTTGAGTTGTTGTTATTTTTATACACGCCGCCGCCTGGCATTTAGTGGCTGTGTTTTAGGCGTGATTATGAAATCGGAGAATGTGCTCGGCATCGCCATCGCCATTACGCAAAAAAGCAAATCAACAGTAAATATTCTGAAAGTGTAAGTGTTTCAAACTAAAAAGAAACATCCATTTCGAACTCTGCATTTAATCAGCCTTTGTCCCACTCTCTTTCTCTCTGTCGCTCTCTTTGTCGCTTTGTTTGCCTGCTGTATTTTTCCTATTTTTTTTTGTTTTATTATTATTTTTGTTTTGCTTACACCACCACACTCGAAGACACGCACTCACACACCCAGAGGCTGTTGTGTTTATTGCCCGCGTCTATTTTCTATTTTTTTTTTTTTGTAAAACTTCTTGGGCTTTTTTTTAGGCAAAAAAATTATTTATTTGTGTTTTCGATCACATACCTCCATACAAGGTGTTCTCAGGCTGGGTCGTTGTGTTGTTGCGGTTGCTTACACTCAAAAAAAAATAATATATATATGTATATACAAGGTTTTGTTGACTGTTTTTTGTGCAGCTCTTTTGCCAGATTGTGCGAAGACGAACTGTTGTTTGTTTTTTAGTCTTGATTTTGGGGGAACTTGGAGGACTTTATCGTGGGGTTTCTCTATTAATCTCGAACCGTAAAGCACGCGAGCAGGCAAACGAATGAAGCGAAGCGGCGATTTTAGCAATTGAAAACCCGACAACACACCTACTAACACCACCACACACGCAATCGCCGCCGCACAAAAGCTTGCCGCGAGAGAGCCAGCGAGAGAGAGCCGGCACACCAGATAGAAGCAAATAAAAAATAAAAAAAAAAAATAAATAAATAAATGAAAAGCAAAAGCAGAAGCAAAGTCAAAGCGTCGTAAACAAGCTTGAAAGTGTACAATGGCTGTATATTAGGGTGGCCCTCCACAGGTACACCCCAACTTTTCTTCAAAAGTGTTGCGCAATTCTAGCCTGAAACGGGAAACGGTGCGTATGAGTGATGGGTTCAGAACCTGGATACTTGCACTGCGCACTTTTTAAAACGGCTTTAAAGATAACATTTTTATACGAACGAGGCCCGCCCTAATGTATACACTCCCCACTATACACATATTTACGTATATATATATATATGTATGTATTTGTTTCTGCGAGCTGTGCGTTCGCGCATGACATTGCCATTTATTGAAAAGTGAGCAGCAGCAACAACAACAATGACAACAAAAACAAAGTCTCCCTCCGCCCCCTCTTCACTTGCCACCCATATATATGGGCCCATTCTCTCTCCGGTGCTCTCTCCCGCCCTGGCCACACATAAACAACTTTTTTTTGGAAAGGATCAGAAGCCAGCAGAGAAAAACAAATAAATAAGCCCCAACAAACAGCTGTTTGGGCTAGGCTTGAGCTGGCCAGCTCTTAGCGTGCCGCTCTTCGTGCCTCTCTTTCGTGCCTCCCTTTCGTGCCCCCAAAGTGAGTCAGAAACGAGGCCTCTTCTTACCAATTTATTTACAAATCGCATAAGGGTTTATAAATAAAATGAGACGAGGGGGGCAGCAGCAGCAGTCATAGAAGGCTAAGACGTCATAGTTCTGGTCCGGAGGCCAGACTGTACCCAAGCCACGATCTGTAAGCGAATATGTAAATGCGAGCCTCCCTAAAGTTTTTTTTACTAAAAATTCGTGAAAACTAGTTCTGGGCTTTAATTAATCGCATAATTAAATTAATTAGATATAGCCATTTCCTCGCTCCGGTTCAAATCGCCCCAAAAAAAAAAAAAACAACAAAAATAATAATAATGCGACACGTGCGACGAAAATGGGCTGCCAAGTGGGCCGTGGGGGGAGGGAGGTGGTGGCGAAGGTGGCAAAGAGAGCCATAGAGAGCGGCCGAGCAGGAAATACAAGAAGCCAAAAGCACAAACACAGGGCAAAGACAAAAAAAAAAACACAAAAATTCCAATAACAAAAAAAAATAGTTTTAAAACAAACAAAAAATTGGAAAAATTGAATTAATAAATAGTACTACTTATTTTTCATGTGTGTAGTTTAGGCATTTGTTTTAGTGGCTTTGTTGCTTTGTTTGTTGTTGTTGTTGTTTTTAATTTTAGCAAAAGCAGCAGTGGCAGCGGAAAAACTGAACAACGACGGCATTGTCGCTGCCGCTTATGTCTCATCCCATATTTGTTGGGGAATAAAAATAAATTTCGAGAATACAACTTTTTCCCCATTCCACCGTACATACGCACAACAACAACAACAACAACAACAGCTAAGCTATCCAAATCCGAAATGAAAAGAGAAATGAAGAGGGGGTGGGGGGTGGGTAAGGCACAAAGAGAGTTGGGGGCCCTCTCGGAGAAGCCACCGAAAGAGCTTACATAAAAATGAAGTTAGCCGGCTTTTTTGGGGAGGCCGACAAAAAAGAAAAGAAAAAAGAAACAACAATAAGAGAAGACGAATGGAAAGCAAAGAGCAAGAAGCAAGAAATGCAGCGGAAGAGACAACAAAAGAAAGAACTAAATATAAACTTGTGTTTGAAGTAACAATTGCAGTTAGTACACTAGCATCGGAGATGATTTCCCATCTAAGAGTGGCCGAAGAGAGATATTTATGTGTCCCACATAGTGACTATGCACAAACACACATACTATAGCACTTAAGTAGCTGCGTTTAAGATGCGACGCGACTTTGTTACCAAAAAACGAAAAAAAAAAAAAGCTGTTGCCAGGCGCACTCCCTCCCACCTTGCATCCGAGGCTACACAGGAAGAAATATTTCCTGCACTCTCACACACCTTTGCAACACCGAGTCGTCTCTGTGTCTCTGCCGGTTTGGATTTCAATTTCAATTGATTTCTTGGCCCGAAAATAAACACATCATGTGTTTTTCTTTTTTGGCCATTTTATTTTTATTCCTGATTTCTTTTTCGAATTTTCGCTCTTCAAATTGTTATTTTTGCGCTAAACAATTACACAAGTTGAGTAGCAAATTGGGTCAACCGCAATTAATCCCCCCACTCCCCCTCACTCCCCAAATAAATATAAACAAAGATAGAAAGAAAAGTCAGAAAGTTGACAGAACCACCGGCCACCATGGCGTATACGTGATGGTTTCTGGTTCCAGGTTTTTGGTTCCAGTACAGTAAAGCCTCGACCTCGAACCGACTTTAATCGTGCAGCACATGGTTAGCGTGGCCCGGGTACAGTGAGCCCTCGCTTTCCGGCTGCCCTTCGACCACCACAAACCGCGATAAACGTTTCCCACTAATTAGCACATTCGGCTCGTCAGTGAAAACTTGAAAAAAAATATTAATAATAAGATACGGATAGGGGGGTATATTAATGCCTCTCGACTGTAGGATACCTGGTACTCCTACTACTATATAGCTCTAGATCGCTTGGTCTGATATACCCTTCTCTGGACACTCTAGCGTTAAACATTTGGTTAAATAGATGACTTTTGATAGCAATGGGAGGTACAGGTAGCGTTACGTAGTCGAATAGATTATAGTATTATTTATTTTTTTTTATATTTTTTTTTGGAATAATGATTTGCATACTGCACTCGTGAGTGATCGAAATGTGCTAACAGCTGGGACAACAAACTTTGAGGCAACAGGTGCACGAACAGACATGCTCTTCTTCCAAATTATGCTAATAATTGTTATAGTTTGAAGAGAGGAATATCTATCTATAAAACTTTTAGAGATCTATTATGATGTAAGATAGTAGTAGTAGATGATCTATATATTTATATAGTTCTGTTCTAGAATCTGGCTACTCTTTACTTTTCGAGTTGTATAACAAAAATCTACAAAGTTGTCGTCTCCTGGTGCTACTTTTTAGTGTTTTTTAGTTTTTTTTTTTTTGCATTCTGCGCACTATTGCTGCCTTTTAGTTGTTGCTGCAGTTGCCTCTATACTTGTAGCTATATACATATATATGTATATATATATAGCTATATCTTATCGCTAAACAACACCAACTTTTCGGCCGACTAGTGCGTTGCGTCGCTTTGCTTGGTGTTCTCTCGCTCTGCTGCTGCTGTGTGTGTGTGTGTGTGTTAGTTCAACACTAATACATTAACACCCTCCTCTCTACGAGCAGTGTACATAATTATTTTCATTTTTTATGTAATCAACAAACAGCACTGCGGATGGTTCTCAAAAAAAGCAAAACGCCCATAGTGGGTGGATCCTTTGGGGTTAACGGTAAATATTTCTACTGCAACTGCCTCTATGTGCCACTAGATGGCCTCCTCAACTTTGACAGTTTTCCTTATTGCGTGACGACCACCCCCCCCACCCCCCCACTGTCCACCCACTTTTCGCCCCAAAATGTCGGAAGTGTTATATACGGCCCCGATATTCAATTAGTTTTTAATCCACGCCAGCGTCAAGAATTTTGTTTTTCAATTGATTTTTAAGTCAGAAGCACGCACACCACCCCCACCACCCCCTTCTTGGGGCATCAAGTAGTTGCATAATCGTACCGTTGCACCTCCAATCGGGGCGTCGGGGGGGCGGAGGTTGAAGTTCAAGTTGAGGCGGGGGTTGAGAACGCCTTTGAGGGGACACTCTCCAGCCCCGATAACAACACACTACTTAGTGGGAAACTATACCTATTTATATTCGCAGGGGTGAGGGTGAGGGGGAGGGGTAAAAAGTAAGGTCGCATCGACGCTACACGGCGTACATGGCGTACCACTATCAACAACAAATTAGCGTCTCCGCGGAGAGCGAGAGAGAGCGAGAGCTCCAGATAGCCCCAGCGGGAGAGCCAGAGAGTGGAGAACATGACAACAACAACAAATCACACGATCGCAAACTCACACTGAAAATATGCAAAGCCAACAACAACAACGACGCAGCGCCAATACTGATAGAGGTTGCAACGACTAGTTGATACCCTATAGCCATAGCATAGTAATGGATGAAGAGCATGCTCCCCACTATGAGAATAGCAGGGTATGGCCAGAAAAGCGTCTCTGCCGCTATTATTATTTTGTATTTTCCCGCTGACGCAGCCTGCTCCACCCCCGTCCTCCCCGCCCAGCACCAATCGGGTCTCGGCAGCGATATGCTCACACAGACGTGTGCTTGTAAGGGTAACAGGCCAACGCGAAACCGAGAAAAGCGAAAAAAAAACAACTGAAATGTATCTAATGCGAGCAGTAATCGTCGTAGCGGGGTCAGACTGTACTGTGGGGTGGGTGGGTACTCTCTAGGGCGGGAGGGTGTCCCGATTTTTTGATTGATTTTGGCCTGGTTATGTAAAAGTCCAACAGGTGGCGACGCTTTCGATTTTCGATGATTGATGATTGGGGATCAGTGTACTTGCAAGGGGGGGGGAGGGAGGGGGAGGCCCTGTATCTCAGCAAAAAAAAAAAAAGAAAATCTAAATAATTAAAATTCATGTTTTCGGTGGCTGTTATTCTGCCACCGCATGCGGGTGACCCGCCCCCGAACTAGACCGCCCCTATCCTTGCCAGGGACGAGTGATAATTCAAAAATTTTCAATTTTTCGGACAAAGCGGGGGGGCGTCCAGACCACAACAAGGCAGGGGACCCGCACACACACACACACATACGCACGCCACTCAGCACTTGCGCTGGTATTAAGTACTCTTCACACGCACATGGGTGACAAATTTATTTACAAACACACACACACACACACACACACACAGAAAATGGAGCAGAAAATGCTTTTGATTTTGAACCACGTTGTTTTTGCTCTTTCCCTAGTCCAAGCTTCGCGGTGTGTGTTTGTTAAGAGCTTTTCGAGT